CATCTTGAATTCTGATGTCTGCTTCCTCAATTCAGCAGGACCACTATACTTAGTTTAAATGATCACTCGTATGCTGGTTAAGACAGTGTTTGAATGAATAGTTATGGTGCTGACTTGGTGAGTTTCTCTTCTCTCAAGGATTATAGTCTTGTGCTGCCAATTTAAATGACAAAGGCCTGAAAACTGTAGGTTTGTGTGTTTTGTCATTTTGTTGTGTTTTTTTACCCACAGATATTTAATTTATTTATGACCTTTAACAGGTGCTTGCAATTCGTTGACTTTTTTGAAAAAAATCAACTTGTAAACTTATTACAAATTAAAAATGAGGCTCTTAGAAATCTTAACTCGACCAAATATGAAGCAGTTTAAAAACCTTTAAAGATGTATTGAGAAAAATTAGGCTTTTTAAAAAACACACATTGATCGTTACCAAAAAGACATCTTTAGATAAAAACAATAAAACAGATAATGCAGATTGTTCTAGTTATCTGGTCAATGGGCAAAAAGCAAGCACTTAAGGTTTTCAGCCCCGATCTTTTGTTCATTTCTTGTTCCTGGAATTTCATATTCATTTATTCTTCTTGGATAACTAATCTGGATGCTGGTAGAATGGTAAACCTGCATTTACTCAGCCCCACCCTGCTCAGCCTCTGGAGCACACGAATTCTCAGCTAGTTGGATCAGCTGCTTTTGTCTCTTTGCCATCTTGTGGAATAGGGTTTTCTGGTCATCTGTGTCAGTAATTGAAGTTGCCACAGTACCGACATTGAGGTGGCTGCTGACCTTGCATCTCATCTCCTTGGTTTTCCTTATCGTCTTCACCGATGTCCTCTCTAGGCTGCCTTCAGTGAGAAAGGCCCCTGCAAAATAGTGGTCTGTAGCCCCATACATATTCTGTCTCACTGGTCTGCCTTGTCCTCCTGCACCCTGGTTGTCAGCACCCTTCATCCCTTCTCCTTGCATAGCAGAGAACACTGTGATTGGAAGACTGGGTTATGCCCACTGGGTCTCTGCATGTAGTAAGGTGGGAACCGTCACCCATCATAGGGCGGCACTGTGGGACCTGACCTTTGGGAGCACTCCCTGATCCCTTTCTTTTCCCCACTCTGCTGTCAGAGCTGGTGGAAGACCCCTGTGACATGGATAGTGTCTATAATGGTCAGTCTACTATACATTTACTGTCTTGCACCAGAACTCCACCAGGGCCTGCAACATTTACTGGCTCCACACCCTTTTCTCCACAGTCTCTCCATCTCCTACACTGATTAGGTACTTTCTGGTGTTATTCTTCTTTATGGCAGTCTGCTATACAACTATATCCTCTTTGGTGTCATTCCTGTTGATGAAACCATATCCCTTTCTTACATTGAACCATTTAATTGTTCTCAAAACCTTCATTGCGCTGACCTTTTTGTCCCTGTTGGCAAGGCCACCTGAGCCACCATTCCCTGCACTGCTACCCATGGTGCCAGGGTTGGGCTTGGTATTAGCAGTGCTTAGGGTGAGGGTGGCACTGGTGGAGGGCAGCTGTGGCTGCTTTTGGGCGGCAGTGGTGGGGCTGCTCAGGGCTGTCTGTGGTCCCCTCTCTGTTCCTGCTACCAAACTCTGTCTTGTCATTTTGATGGTTGTTTACAGTGGGAGGGTGTGCAGGTACTAGTTACTCTATCCTAGCCAGAGGGGCATGATTCTGAGTGATAACATATTTATTGTTTCATGCTAAGACTTATCTGTCTTTTCTGTCAGGGATTTGTTCATGTCCATTCAGCAAATAACTTTTCTTACATGGGTGGATGGGGGGAGGGGTGCTCTCTTTACTGAACAGGTACATCATTGCCTAATTGTCTAAAATTTTATTGCATTTATAAATTTTCAGATCTGTAAAGTTTGATGGTTCTTTCATATCTTTTCTGAGGCGGACATGAGCATTCCTTTGGTTGACCTTATTTAAATTAATTAAGCAATTAATTTTATCTTTATCCAAGGATATGTTTATTGTTTTTAGAAAGAGAGGAAGGGAAGGAGGGAGGGTGGGGTGGGAGGAGAGAGAAAGAGAGAGAGAGAGAGAGAGAGAGAGAGAGGTCAATATAAAAGAGAAATATAGATTGATTCCCTTTCATATGCATCCCACCCAGGGATTGAATCGGCAGTCTAGGTATGTGCCCTGACAGGGAATCAAACTTGCAGCTTTTTGGTGTATGGGGACAATGCTCCAACAACTGAGCCACCTGGCTAGGGCTGGTTGATCTTATTTTAATCAATATAATAAAATTATTGATCTCATATGTGGGCAGTACTTGATGAATGATAACTAGAAATATTACCTGTTGATTTTTTTCTTATAACTGGAAATTTATAGTTTGGCCAATATAAATTTTTTTCAGACATTGATTCATTCATCAAATATTTAGTGATTATCTATTTTAATTGCCAGTGACGTCATTGTACCCGGCACCAAGGATATACTGGAGAATAAAATAGGCACCAATAATCTTACCCTTTGTTGAGCTTATGTTCTAATATGGGAGATAGACAATAAATATAAGGTAACAACATAAAAAATGTGTAAGTATGGTATGTGCTAGGGAAAAAACAAGTAAGAGAGTTCTAGGGTGGAGAGCAATGAATCCCTACTTTGGATAGGGTGGTCAGTCATTTGAGTTTATATTTCAGTTAAGTAGAGAACAGCTAGTGTCTGGGAAAGAGTTGAAGTCAGGAGACTGTGATAGATTTTTCTAGTACCTTCCAGGTGCCAGTAAAGATCCTCAGGAAATATATATTAGAGGAACTGAAAGAAGGTAAGTGTGCCTGAAGTGTGAACAAGGAGAAGAAAGTGACAAGGTTTAAATTGGGAAGGTGGGAGTAGGCTAGATCATATGGGTCAGTCTCTAATCTCTCATCAGGAGCTCAGTTACCTTTTATCTTCTTTCCTCCAGTCCTCAGTAGTGTGACCATGTAATCTGTTGTACAGAGACTGGCATACTTCTGAGTGAATGGAAGGCTGGTTTGACAGCTCCAGTCTGGCCCTGTTCTGGGGAAAGCATCCTAATTGTGGGTAATATCTATGTGGAAATAGCATAGGTACGGATTCTTGGATGCAGACAACATTTAAATCTTCATTTTACTCACCATCTAGGTAGTCCTCAAGCAAGTTACTTAGTTTTTTTGTGCCTCAAATTTCTCATTTGTAACAAATGGAAATAATGCCTCATTAGGATCATTATGAAGATTAAATAAGATGGCCCTGGCCAGTGTGGCTCAGTTGGTTGGAGCATGGTCCTGTAAACTGGAAAGTCGCAGGTTTGATTCCTAGGCAGAGCTTGTGCCTAGGCTGCAGTTTTGGTCCCTGCTCAGGGTGTGCGCTAGAGGCAGCCGGTTTATCTTCCACATTGATGTTTCTTTCCCCCACACTTTTCCTTCTTTCCCCTTTCTCTAAAATCAGTAGGCATGTCCTAGGGTGAAGATTTAAAAAAAGGATTAAATAAGATAGTACATTTATCAAAACACACTGTGTCTGGCACATAGAAAACATCACACAATAAATTTATTCTTTCAGCAAGTATTTATTGAAAGGTTATTATGTGCCAGGCATTATCTTGGACATTGGTGACTAAACAGTGAACAAAACACAGATCCTTGCCTTCAGTGGGTTTAAATTCTAGTGCTGAGAGATAATAAAATAAACAAGTTAAAAATAGGATATAAGATGGTGGTAAGTGCAGTGGAGCAAAAGCAAGGAAAAGAGAATGGAATAGGGAATGTGTGGGCAGCAGAAGGGCAGGGAGCGTTGCGTTGAAAGGTTAAGTGGCTTGATCAGAGTAGACCTGCCTGAGAAGGTTAGCATTTGAACAGGAATGTTTAAAAAGTGAGGGACTGGGTCCTGCTTGCTATAAGAAATGAGTTCAGACAGAGGGAACAAGACATGTAGAAGTGAGATGAGAACCTATTAGGGTTATTTAAAGCGAGGAGTCACCGGAAATGGTTTGTTTTGGAGAGGCCACCAGATCGTTGGTGGGTGAGAGTGACAGCAGGAAAACTGGGAGAGACTTGCAGGAAATTGAAATAAAATGTTAGCTGAGGGCGGTACCAGTGCAGATAGTTGGAAATGGCTGGCTTCAGAAACTGTGTGAAGGGAGCAGTGACATGACTGGCTGATGAGTTTGACGAGCTCTGTGAGAGAAAAGGAGGAGCCAGAGAGAAAAGGGTTTTTAGCCAGAGCAGCTGGAAGAATGAAGATGCCATTCATTGCAGTGGGGAAGACAGGACAAATTCAGGGTGAAGATCTGGAGTTCAGTTTCAAACGTCCTGTTAGATATCCAGGTATAAATGTTAGCAGTTATTATTTATTATTATCCGGTAAATGTTAATTATTATAATTATTCATTAAATGCTTATTGGCTCTGTGAATTTGCTGTTACATTCGAGGATTAAAATGGAGGTCAGAATAGACACTGTGCTTGCCCTTGTAGAATTTATAGTTTAATGAAGAAGATAAGAATTAATCAAATAACCACATTGTTGATAGCTTATTTCCCTTAAAAACCTCTTAAATAGGGTAATAGAAAAAAATAAGGATGACAACAAAATTACAAATATTCCTTGATACCTACATTTATTAGGTTCTTTTCATGTTAAGATAGTGAAGGATACATGTACATATCTTACAAGTTTCTCATTTTACAGTATTCTTAAAATTGGTTAGCTTAATTACCATGAGGGAATGAAACTTCAAGAATTCAGCTTGAGATGAAATGAGAGCTGTATTTTGAACTTGGCATTTAAAAAAGGTATGGTATGTTTCATGAAATACTTAGGCTGTTGAGAAGTTTCTCCTGTTTCTTTCATTAGAAATGTTATTCTTTTACTTTTTATTAGTTACCTAAGGATCATTCTGTTTTATAACTAAAGTCTTTTAATAATAGCATTATAGTATGATCTGTTGTTCACCTTTCTCTCATGAAATTAAATAATATAATGATTTTTTGTATTTTGAAAATCAACAGGTTCGTCATAAAGCATCACAGAAGGTTTATGCTATGAAACTTCTTAGTAAGTTTGAAATGATAAAAAGATCAGATTCTGCTTTTTTCTGGGAAGAAAGAGATATTATGGCCTTTGCCAACAGTCCCTGGGTGGTTCAGGTGAGCATACTCACTTTTATAAGTGTATTTCCCTCTTTTATAAGTGTTTATCATTCAAAATTATTGGTTCTATGTGCTAAATATCCTAGATATCCTTTATGTAGTGACAGCGCACTTACTTTAAATAAGATCTCGTTTATACACTTGTTTAATGTCCCTAAGTAGTATTCATACAGGTATGACATGTAACACATTTATTTATGGAAGCAAGTATTACTTGCAACTTTTTAAATCGTTTATAAAGAAAGGGGTTGGGTTGGTTAAAAGTATGCCATTATCTCCTGTCTACTCTTTTCTTGTGATTTATGTAATGAAAACAAGAATCCACCTGTCTCGAAATTTAAAAAACTTCACGCTAGCTCTTGGACTGTGGCAGTCTATTCAACCTGCAGGTTACCCAGCTTACAGTTTGGGTGAATTTTAAAACACCACATGGAGCTGTTTGAATCTTTCTACTTTAATATTATCAATAAACCACTGACAACTTAAAAAAGAAACAACTTCATGCAATAAAGATTTTGAAAATTCTTTTGCAGTCCTTTATGTTTTACCTATAATGTAAGACAGTCTTGGGTTCCTAATTCAGCCCTGTATTTGACTCTTAATAAGGAATTGATGATTCTGTTGTGCCTCCTTTCAGTGATATCCCTTACTAGCTTTGTTTCTCTAAAGGTTGTTTTATACTAATAACTAATTTTACAAACATTTTGAACAAGCGTCAGGAGTAAGATTAGGAGTATCAATGCTTGTGCAGAATATTTAAATCAGGGGTGTCAAACTCATGTTCACTGGGGGCCACATCAGCCTCATGGTTGCCTTCAAAGGGCCAGATGTAATTTTGGGATTGTATAAATGTAGATACTCCTTAACTAGGGGAGAGGAGTTTGCTCTGCCGCCAGGTAGAAACAAAGTTCCGGGCCGGATAAAACAAGGTGAAGGGCTGGGTGGATTCAGCCCACAGGCCTTATGTTTGCTACCTGTGACTTAAATGATCTGGGAGTTTGATACCTTGCTTATGGAAGACAATTTTGAGGTTAAAAAAATTACCACATTGATGAAAAAAACTTCATGCAATAATTTGTCCACTTTCAGGCATTGTAAGTGGGTAAGTTTGTCATCAAATCTGAATCTCTTCAAAGATATTTTAAGTCTAAAAAGTTCAGTCCCACTACCATCTGTAGCTCATACATACTGTAAATTTAGCTAATTACTGCAGTGTAAACCAGCTATATATTAGAGGCCTAGAAATGCTTTCAATTTGGTTTTGTCTGTTCATTTAGCATCTCTTTTCTCATGAAAACTGGCTTGAGATAGAATCAATATATTTATTTGTATATAATAAAATAAGATCTAAAATATCATTTGTGATAAATCAGTTCACAGTTTCTAGTTCTGTCTTGACATTTTTGTGTTCAGCCGAACTAGCAGAAGTTGACACAAAATACTCTGTGGCTGTTTTCTAATTTGTTTTCTTGCTTGATTTCCCCTCCATTTTAATTCTTTATCTTTTCCAAAAAAATAATCATGTCTAGTTAATCTTCACTTTCTTCACTAGAAAAAAGCTTGCTCAGTATTCGAATCTTCTGAACTAACTTCCACATAATCTTCCGCTTTCCTTTTCATATTTGACTCTGTCATTTTCATCATTGGACTTGAGTAGTATTCGCTGAAGTTCTTCAACAACTCCTGGATTGTTGAATTGATGTATTTTTCCAGACATTTTCAGAGGTAAATGAAAACAAAAAACAAAAAACACAACACTGACTTTGAAGCTCACAAAGAAAAGTAACTATACCAACACTGACTTCGGAGTTCATGGTATCTCTCAGATACAATTTACTATCAGATATCACACATCCTTACGAAATGTGTTATAACCAAAATGATGGCTTTTAAACACTATGGCTTAACATTAGTCACATACAAGTGTGCAGCTAGTCGTGACCTTGAATGTGTGCACCTGATATATGTAACAGTATTTAAGAAAAGAGTTTGTATCTTGAGATCAGCTGTGACCTCCACAGGATTAACTGACCAGATTAACCATGGTGGATACTTTGATTATCTTTCTAATAAGCCTGTTGATCTGGCCTTCCCTATTGCCAGCACCTCCACAATCTACAAAATGGATGGTCTTTTCCTTCATTCCACCTTGTGGAGAAGATAATTTTAAGGGCCACAAGCAGTTGTTTGCTTCTTTGAGACATTTTCCAGCAGTATAGATCTCATGAATCAGACCCTCCATGCAGATGAGGCATATTTACCAAGAGATTGAGCAGTCAGTGTGTGTTAATCTGTCAGGCCATTAGTTTTGTTTTTGTTTTTGATTTTGTCATAACCACACTTGTAGATCAGTTCAATTATTGACTTCAGGTTGGGTACCCCCATGCAATATATGGTTCTGCATTTCTCAGCATGTTAATTGAAGCCTTGTTGAGCTTGACAAAGGTGCCATTGAAGATCTCCCAAAGGCAAAGAAACTGCAGCGCCTTTCGGACCTTTGGGCTTACACTGTTGCTACCTCTGATCCGGATGACAAATGCCAGTTTGGGTTCTGCAGGTACATGGAAGTTGCCAGCTTTTCTTGCCATCCTAGCTGTTCGACTCAGTTCTGTACATGCCCATATTCCAAGTGATAGTACTTAGCTTTTTCATAGATGAGCTTCCTCCTCACCTTTCAAAGCATCTTTTGTGCGAACTTCTTTCTCAGGTGCTTGATCTTCAGCTCTGCGAAATTCCTTTGCTTTGTTTAAGGGTTTCTGGCACAGTAGGGGACCTTTTTCTTCTTTTCCGCACCCTCCAAGGTTCTAGCCAGAAAAGAGCTGACCATTATTTCCTGGAGTATTTTTTCTGTCTCACCTCTTCAGCCTCTTTCTCTGACCTGAGTTACACATATATAATCTGCTTGATGTTGTCCTGTGGGTAATTGATATTCTGTTTGGTTTTTTTATTATTTCACAGCCTTTTTTTTTTTTTTTTTGGCTTTTCTGGTATGCCTTATTTTATATAGTTTCTGTGCTATGTCTTTAAATTCACTTATCTTTTTTCTGCAGTGTCCAGTCTAACTTTAAACCCATCCCACCTGGCTTCTTTCATTCAGCAAAATTGTTTTGAGACTTATCCACGATAAGTATATTACTTTTTTAAAAACATTTATTTATTTAGTTTTTACTTTTAGAGAGAGGAGAAGGGAGAGAGAGAGGGGGAGAGAAACATCAATGTGTGGTTTCCTCTCACATGCCCCTCACTGGGGCCTGCCTGGCAACCCAGGCCTGTGCCCTGACTGGGACCCTTTGGTTCGCAGTCTGGCGCTAAATCTGCTGAGCCACACCACCAGGGCCATGATGTAATATTTCAATAGTTCATTCCTTTTTATTGACAAATAGTATTCCCTTACATGGATACATGACAATTTGTTTGTTCATTCATTGGTTCATGGACATTTGGGTTGTTTCCAGTGTCCATCTCTTGTGAGTAAAGCTGCATTATCAAGTTATTGCCAGATCAACTGGTATCATCCCATGATTTTTAGGAAATAATTTACAGTTGTGCACCCATCACTAAAATCTGATTTCAGAACATTTTTAGCATCCCTAAATAATAACTTGTACACATTTATAGTCATTTTCCATTTTCCTCCAGTCCCAGGCAACCACTAATGTGTTTACTGTCTCTATAGATTTGCTGTTTCTGGACATTTTGGGTAAATGGAGTCATTACAATAGTTGTGTTTTGGGTCAGGTCTCTTTCCCTTATGTACTGTCTTGAAGTTCATGCATATTGTGTCATACGTTGTACTTCATTTCTTTTTTAGTGCTCAATGATATTTCATTGTATGGCATAGGATAACAAAGAATATATTTTCTTTGTCCCCAGTTCATACCAGAGAACTTTTTAAAGTGCTTGAATTTCCACAGTGATAGGAATCTTTGTTATGCTAATGAGACAACTTTCTGTAGCTTTCTGCTAGCTTTGAGATAGGACCTGACTGGTCACCAGAAAGACCAAGCTGCCCAAACTCTAGGGAGGAGAAGAGAACTGGAGATTCAGTTATATCACATGGCCAATGATTTATTTAATGATGCCTATGTAATGAGACCTTAATTAAAATTCTGGATATTGACACTCAGTAGAGCTTCCCAACTGGTTAATACATTGTTGTGCAGAGTGTGGTGCACCCCGATTCTACAAGAAGGCACAGACACTCTGTGCTCTCTCTCAGTCTTTACCCTGTGTGCATCCTTTATAATAAAACTGAATGTAAGTATTGTTCCCAGAGTCACCCTGGTAGCCTGGGGACTCCGAAAATGTGGCTGATGTCTGAAGTGAGAGGGCAGTCTTGTGGAGGACCGAGCTATTACCTTGTGGGATCTGATACTAACTCTAGGTGTTGTTAGCATCAGAATTGCACTGCAGTAGGTCTGGTTGGGTGGAAACAGTATATGCGTAATACTTGGTTTTCTTTGTCCATTTAGCGGTTGATGGACGTTTGAATTTGTTTCTACTTTAGGGTAATTATAAATAGTAAACATTTGCATACAAGTCTTTTATTTCATTTCTCTAGACAAAGCATGAAAACTATACCACATGAGGCACATCACGAAAATAAAAAAGATTGGGGGGGGGATACCAAAGAGAGTATCAGTTATCTATGGGATGACATCAAGCAGATTACATGTGTAATTCCAGTCTGAGCAAGGGGTTGGAGGGCTATGGGACAGGAGCAGAAACAGAAAAAATAGTTGAAGAACTAATAGCCAGAATTTTCCCAAATTTGATGAAATCTATAAACCCATAAATCCAAGAAGCCTAATCAATATCAATCAAGTTCAACAGAACGAATTCAAACACTATAGTACTTGGTGGCAAGAGGAAAAATAAAACAACTAAATGGAATAGAGAACCCCAATATAAACCCATGCATATATGGACAGTTTTGTTAATTCTTTAGTTCTTTGTCTGTGTATCATGATGTTTGTTTTACTCAAATGTTGATTTCTTGGTTTTGCTCTCTTTTACTCTTTGGGGATACTTGTTTGTGATTGCTTTTTTCTAGGATGGGTGGGGCATGTTTGGGGATGGAATGTGGATAGCTTTCCTTCTGAATTTGTGATTACTGTGTCATTCCTGGGGGCAGCCTAGCTTGGGGTCTTATTTCTCTGTTGTCAGTGCCACTATGTTAGTATGGATGCAGGTAGCACTGCCCTTGCTGCTGTTGTAAGCAAGAAGATGGGGAAGGGGAGAGAGGAGGAGGACATCTCCCCCAGTGTGGCTGCCAATTGCTCTTCCAGGGTGTGGTGCTCATCCCTCTTCTTACAGCCATTGAGTCTGTGAACCACTCCTGCTGTCTCAGCGCTCTTCTTTGTGAGTTATCTGTAGTGTTTGGGAATTTTGTTACGCATTTACCTTTTATGATCTGCATTCTTTTTCTCTTAAAATATTTCTGTGTAAAAAGATTCCTGTATTTTCCAGGAGGGAAGATGACTTATTTATACATATTTTGTTAGTAAGTATGAAGAAGATACCCATATCAAAGTTTTGTTTGGTAACATTTCCTTTAAAGATCTTCAAATCAATCTAAAATCAAAGATTTCATAAAGTTCAGCTTAGTTTTGTTTATAAAATAATTCATGGTTTTTTTCAATAACAGTAATAACAGATTTTGGTTTTTTGTTTATGGTTTGGGTTTTCTTTCTTTCTCTAAAAAATTTTTTTCCCCATTTTGTTTTTCAGCTCTTTTGTGCCTTTCAAGATGATAAGTATCTGTACATGGTAATGGAGTACATGCCTGGTGGAGACCTTGTAAACCTTATGAGTAACTATGATGTACCTGAGAAATGGGCCAAATTTTATACAGCAGAAGTGGTTCTTGCTCTGGATGCCATCCATTCCATGGGTTTAATTCATAGAGATGTAAAGCCTGACAACATGCTTTTGGATAAACATGGACATCTAAAATTAGCAGATTTTGGCACATGTATGAAGATGGATGAAGTAAGTACTAAGCAAGTAAAAAAAATGCTGAGGTTTTATTGAGAAACAAAAATAAAAGAAACACTTCAAATCTGGAGTTTAGAGTTTTAAACAAAGATAAATTTAGTTTTGTTAACTATGGCTCAAATAAGGTAAGGAAATATCCAAATTTGTATGCCTTTCATAATGTACTTGTTCTCTGTCCTGCCAAAGCCATGTCAGCAGTGAAGTTCTGTTGGTAGCAGTTTATGTCACTTGTATGTAATAATAAACAAATTCGTTATATTTATGTGTGACTTTACACACATCTTCTATCTGTGCTGTTTCCCCAGACAGGCATGGTGCATTGTGACACAGCAGTTGGAACACCTGATTATATATCACCTGAGGTTCTGAAATCACAAGGGGGTGATGGTTACTATGGGCGAGAATGTGATTGGTGGTCTGTGGGTGTTTTCCTTTTTGAGATGCTGGTGGGTAAGTAAATATTTAACATTCTTTTTTCAAAATCCATCTCATGATACTTGAGCTCTAGTTCAGGAATTTGGGAATATAAGGAAATTAATTGCATGCATTAGTAGTGTCTGATGTAACAGATTGTTAATTGGAGAATTAAAACCAAATCTCATACTGGGAAATTGATTGAGTAGAATATGAAAGGAATTGAAAGTATACTGCTAGGAAATACTCTTCCAGCAGACCTTTGTATTGAGAAAATACAACAAGAAGCAAGTTTACAGCTACAATGGGCCTCCATTCTAAGATTATTAATTGTATTTGTTGCAAATATCTTAAATATAAAGCTGTTCATATTTGTTCCAATAATAATAGAGAACTGAAAATACTTTTTGGTTTGTTTATGGAATTAAGTTAGTGATTTTTGTTAATTGTATTTCTTATACTTATTACTTGTTTATATACTTACCTTGAAATTCCAGTAAAATAAATCATATAGTTATTGACTATTCAAGTATCAAGATAAATATATTTTATAATATTTCAGTCTCAGAAAATCAAATTTAATAATTCCTTTTACTTTAACCAAAACAAAATTTAAAAGGCTTAAGTGTTTTAAAACTTTTCTTTACATCATAGATTTCATTCTTCTGATTCCCTACTCCTAAGTACTAGGGATACACAAATACCTCTGGCTAAGGGAGCCAGTGACTGAATTATTTGTCTTGGGAAGAGGGGAAGTGTAGCCAGGTCTGCTTTCTGAGACAAGTGTGATAAGGCTAATAATATTATATGAAATGACTTTAGAGCTGTGAATATATTTTTAGAAAATGAGGAATTTGTTTTGTGGATGATTACCCTATAAGAAATTGGTAGTAGAAAAATCTATAAAACCTGTACAATTACTGAGTATTGTTATTGCTTTAAGAAATTCAGAACATTTTGGTAAATCCCAAATTTAAGTAACAGTTAGGCAGGGAACTTTTTTCTGACATCTCTTGTTGACCATCCCAGGTACGTAGCATTACTCTTGCTATGCTTGGTATTATGTCATAGCAGGACGACCTTTGTTTTAGACCTTGTCTTTGTAGTGGTCCATTCTCCCCACCTCTGGCCCAATCTGATGATGCAATTAGGTGTATCTTATAGTCTTTTGAAATAGAATATATTCTATTATTTGCCTAGACTCTCCTAAGGATTTAGAAAATAATATACTTTGTAGGAAGTCACATGGCTCATTTGAAGATACCATTTAAATTTCTGCCACTATTCAACTCTGAGAGCTAAATTTAATGATTTTCAATGGCACTGATTTGGGGTATTCTGAGTTTACTCTGCTGCTTGTTCAGGTTGGTTGGCACAGGAGTTCATAAAGGCTTCTGTTGCAATTGAAAAATGTCACTAGAAGAATCTTGAATTCAAAGCTCCCTCCACTCCCCTTTGAAAGCAAGTTAAAAACTACCTACTTGAGTACCCCTTTTGAAGTTTTGGATTGGCTGATTTGAGAAAGTCTGTTTTGTGCTAAGGTGACCTGTAGTTAAGGCATACCAGCAGGGCCTTTAACCCTTGTGGCTTTAGATGAGTACTGACAAAAGCGATGCCTTCAACTTTTTCTGTCTTTACACTTGTCTCAGTGCCTCTTTGTCTCAGTCATTAGTCCTCATAAACACTACATTGGGATACCATTTCTGCCACTTTGAGCTTTGGACAATGTGTCATCTTAGGCAAATCACATTTCATCTATCTGGGCTTGGCTTCCCTTTATGTAAAATAATAGGGCTGGTCTAACTCCTCTTAGAGCTGCACCATCCAGTCTGTCATGATGAAAATGTCTTATATCTGTGTGTTCTCTGTAGTAGCACTGGCCTCACTGAATACTTAAAATGTGGCTAGTCAGTGGACTAGGGAACTAAATTTTTCATTTTGTTTAATGCTAATTAATTTAACTTTAAATCGCCACATGTGACTAGTAGCTACTGTTTTGTATAACAGAGCTAGAAACTAGAGATGAGACTCTGGAGAGTCTGATCCATGATTCAAATCAAGCTTTAGAGGAGTCTGATCTGACCTCACTTAGTAATCTTTTTAATTACTCAGTAAATTGTTTCCCATTATTTAAAAAAACCATAAAATTATGGAGTTAGCAATGATTTAATTTTGCTCATAAGGATTGATGATTCATTTGGTATGGTTAACATTTAAATACATCCTTGGTTTATATCTGTTTGTTTTTTAATAAGACTTCTGGCTTATAACCATTTTTCATCCATATGACAAATTTAAACTTAACATATCTAAGTAGTAGATGAAAAGTGTTGCAACTTTACATTTACACTGAATGTCTTCTTTCTTGGAATTTTAGGGGATACTCCATTTTACGCAGATTCACTTGTAGGAACATATAGCAAAATTATGGATCATAAGAACTCCCTATGTTTCCCTGAAGATGCAGAAATTTCTAAACATGCAAAGAATCTCATCTGTGCCTTCCTCACAGATAGGTAATATGCCTTGATGGTCTTTGTGGAGATGACACTTTAACTTTCAAACTTGCAGAGATGAAAGCATACCTAACTCTTAGTTACGTATGAAATCAATCACTCTTCTTATCTAAATTGCATTTAATTCTGGGTTAGCCTTTTTTTACTGCTAAGCCTGGGGTTGGGTTACCTTATCATTTTGGGTTTGCAGCCCAATTGAAACTTAACTCTTAACCCTTGTGTCTAAAAAGAAAAAAAATAGAACTTTGTAAAATGATGCATTTGAGAGAAATAAAACTTTTGTATTATTGACATTTTCTCCTCTAAGGGGGCTCAAGCCATGCTACCCTTGTTGCACAGTTTTTGAGAGAAGAGCCTTTTGTGCATATAAATACTCAACAGATTATAATCTCAAAGACTGTTTGTGTTTAACTTGCGAGTGCCTACTTTCCAACCTGTTTTTATTTGCATTTGAATATGAGCAGGTCGGCCCTGGAAATTCTATATTTCTTAAAACAAAGTAGATGAACAACACTGAAAACCAACCTCAAAAAGGGAAGCTAGACGGCTATTCAGAGTTTTTTCCCTGGCTCTCTCTGCAGTTCTTTGGCTTGCCGTTTACATTTGTGACAGGAGTGGCCGCATCAAGGGACCGGCACATACAAGAGGCTGCTTGCTCTCCAACCCAGACTTTTACTGACTAGCATTACGATTTTAGGGAAGTTATCTTACTGTTTTGGGAAATACTTTTATTCATCCATGAAATGATGGGATCAGAATAGATTAAAAAGTAAGGCCATTTATAACTTTAAAATGCTATGATTCCTTTGCATACCTTATGTTTATTAGCTAGTTGCCATTACAAGAAGTGCTATAGTGACTATCTTTGTAGTGATCTTTGCACATTTTTTTGTAGGATAAAAATCTTACAGGTGGAATTCTGGGAATTGAATTGACCTTGAGAAGTCACATCAGAAAATATTTTTAGTAACAATAATTGTTTCCCTCATTCTCATCAAACTGAATATTATGAATTTTGTTCCATATGAAGCAAAAAAGTTGTTTATATTGTTCCTCAGAGAAATTAATCATTTTTATGTTTATCAATCATTTGTAGAATAAAACTTTAATATTTGTTAATATATACGATTAATGTACAACCCGTGCTGATAAACTCAGAACAAATCCTATATACTGTTTTGCTTTGATAGGATGAGCATAATTTGTCAAAGGTAAAATGGGATATAGCATATGTCATTGAAAGGAGTACCATTCATGAAAGATTTGCTGTAGCAATTTATTGGGAGAAAGGTTGCAGTTTTAAAAAGAATTTTATGCCATTAACGTGGCTAGGAACACTTCCATCTAAAATTTATAGGTTTTTCTCCTTATATTAAACATTGTTCCAGGGCATATAAAAAAACAAATGCTTTTTATTCTCATACAGGTTTTTAAAATTTTTTTCATACAGTTTTAATTGAAATCTCAAAGGGTCAAAGAATGAAATAATTTACATTTTTCTTGTATTCAGAATAATTTAATATAAAGATATAATTTATCAGAGTAAATATGGATAGCTTCAAATATAGTATGTGATTTCTTTTTAAGAAGGGGAGAGATTGTTAAAAATAACAGTTTTAGCCTTGGCTGGTGTAGCTCAGTGGATTGAACGTGGGCCTGGGCACCAAGGGATCACAGTTCAATTCCCAGTCAGGGCACATGCTTGAGTTGCAGGCCAGTTCCCAGCAGGGGACACACGAGAGGCAACCATACATTGATATTTCTCTTCCTCTCCTCCCCTTATCCTCTAAAGATAATCTTTAAAAAACTCTTTTAAAAAATTCATTCCTTTAAAAAAAAAAGTTTTATTAGGGAGGTTTTAATGATTCTTCTGGGCCAGAAGTTAGATCATTGTTCATTTTACATCCTAAAGTTTGTCATGCGGTTTTGGCATGCACAGGTGAATTTTTTTATTTGAAAGTCTCATGTGTACTTTTGTTTGACACAAACTACAGATTGAAATGTTTCGCTTTCCATGGCATTTATTGGGTTGGTGGAAAAGTTTATGTGATACTTTCTGTAAAATAAAAAGGCACATTTTTCCTTTTCATCAATAACTTTATTGATTTAGATGTTTTAAGTATGTTGACTATCTCCCATGTGGTAAAATGTTAATTGTTCTCATTTAGTGTCTTGATTTGATTGCCACCAACTTCAACTGGTCTGCCCAACTGTGGAGCTCCCAGTGAGAATCTCCAGCACAAACCTTTGCAGACCACTTTTGACACTTTTGATCAGTCACCACAGCGCCTTTTCCACACACCGCACAAATTTTGTGTGTGTGTGTGTGTGTGTTTCAGTTTTATTTTTACCTTTAGAAATAATAAGGATAATATGCCAAAAATGTTGCATATGTTCTTCTATCTTCAATATTAAAATGACTACACAAAAATTCCCAAATTTTGATGTTTTTTTAAGATGTATGCTGATATGACAGCTGTCACAAGACAGTCTAACTAAATTGTTTCAAATGAAGTTAAAGACAACTAAAGGCTACCAGCTTACAGGAAAAACCAAATGAACTTTTTGGCCAGCCCAATACATATATTACAGTCTTTTTAACCTATCTGTAGAGATTATATACTATAAACCTGAGATAGCTTTATTTTTTTTTTTGAGAAATATTTATGCTGAAACTTAAAAAAAAAAGATGTCTCAAACTCATTTGTGATCCTTATGTTGATCCTTGTTGAGATAAGAGTTAATATTTTTGTCTTTTCCTAATCTTACCCTTTACATAATTTTTATCTGCATTGCTTAGGGAGGTACGACTTGGGAGAAATGGGGTAGAAGAAATAAAACAACATCCTTTCTTTAAGAATGATCAATGGAATTGGGATAACATAAGGGAGAGTAAGTCAATAATTTAAGTATTTCTATCCTATCACATTTTAAATTGCTTTGTCTTTTGAATTAACAAGCATGTTTCATATATTTAATGCTAACTAATTTTTAAATTGAGAGGTTTCATTTTAAATTTGTTCAGTGGCAGTATTTATAACTAAATTAATATCTCAATATTTTAGCAAAGTAAGCATACAATAAATGTGTATTTAACAATATTTTCCAATACTTTTATAGTAAGTCTTATAGGTTTCTTAATTTGTGAAGTTAAATTTTATGTATCTCAAAAATTTAATTTGCAGAATTATTGAGAAAATGTAAACTATTATTATTGGAGAAATGTAAACTTTTAATTTGAAAGTAATAAATCAGTAATTAATTACTATATGGAGACCATACTCTGGTAAATACTAGGTTAAACATAGTAATTCACTTTAACTTTATGTATATTTGACAGTAATTTATTCTAAGAGGAAGAAATGTTTCTACTTAAAGAATGTAGAAAACTGAAGACCAAAGAATGTATTGCTGCTTATAATTTTAATACCTAGAGTAATATATTGCTTTTCTTGTTTAACTGATTTATTTATATTTAAAACTGATGTAATATAGTAATAAAATATGTATAAAATTGTAATTCTTTGAAAAGTGTTACTAAATGTGGAAAAATGTGTTACTAAAGAGTTCTATAGTAAATCATAAAAATATATTGTTATTAGTTATATATCATTGATGTAGTGTGTTAATATTAATATATTGTTAATAGTATAAAACAAAGCAGGGGTGGTTTATGTATTTATTTTTGGTCATGAATGAAGTGACTCATTTCTTCTGATAGCGGCAGCCCCAGTGGTACCTGAACTCAGCAGCGACATAGACAGCAGCAATTTTGATGACATTGAAGATGACAAAGGAGATGTAGAAACCTTCCCCATTCCTAAAGCCTTCGTGGGAAATCAGCTGCCTTTTATAGGATTTACCTACTATAGAGAAAATTTGTATGTAATTTATTACATTTTCGTTGTCTTCAGAGTCTAGCTGTAAAGAGTTGTCTTACTTTGAGACTGGAGTATGTAAGAAAAAGTATTAATTTGTTTTAAACTTGGGTTTTTTTCCAAAAGGACTATCAAGAGAGTTCATTTATTTTTATCATTTTATTTCTAAAATGCTATATGATATTCATTTACAAATGAATGCAAGGCAGTGCTCTGTATTTGTTTGGGCTGTAGATAAGACCAAATACCTGCTTTTGAAGGAACTTGTCAGCTAACGAGGGGTATGAGAAGGTGATATACTCATCATGCAGAGTAGAATGTGGTATTTGCTTTAAGAAAGCTAGCTACCCCAAAACTGAGATGGTTTGAGCGAAAAATAAAAGTCATGTATCTTTGGGTTGAGAGTAGGAAAAAGTTAGGTAAAACCTCAGGGAAAAGGTGGCATTTTAGTCCAAAGTAAAGATAGGAAAGGGCTTTTTGAATGGCTGAGATGTGAGTGGTGAGGTGGAAGCAAGCACACATTGAGAGCAGCACCGTGTGATTAGTGGGCCCAGCATTGGGTAGGCATTACTGGACTACCACTGTTTGGAGGACTTGCTAAGACTCTGGTTTCCTTGCCCGAGTCCTTCCCTCCGGCACAGAGCCTGGCATAGGTCAGTCAATAAATGGTGGTCAGCTGAAGTGAGTTTTGGGGGGTGAGATTAGAAAATATATTGAAGTTGGAGTTTAGGGGAAGAATTTTGCAACAGGTGATTATTGTGTGCTGTGCCAAGGAACTTTGGACTTTCCAGGTAGTGAAGAGCCACTGAAAACTGTTAAATAGTTGAGTGAAGCATTAATGAGTTAGAGAAACTTTTTCATACTTCCATGTGTAATGATGGGGCTGACCAGACATTATGATCTGCCCCAGACTGAGGGGTTTCCTAGGATATGGTGCAGGACTTTCCTAAAGTCCTAAAACTGGGAAAAATCCCAGGCCAACTAGGAAGAACTGCTCACCCAGCTACCAATAGTGTTCTAAAGATTGTATGCTGGTTTTACGAAGGTGTCAGTGCCTGGAGAAACACAAGCATGTTTATTGGCACTGAGAAAGAGAGAAGTTGACAGTTAAATAGAAGTGTTTGTTTATGTATTAAGCCTTGGAGATCAAAAGATGTTATCTTTGAAAAGGAGGAGAGATGTCTCTTCCTAGAAAATGTTTAGAAAAGAATAAAATAGCTACAGGAACTTGAGGTGAAGAGGGGAAGGTTAGTGACTCCAATCTCAACAATGTGAAATTTTAAATAACAAAACATTCAATAAGAGTGAGAGGCCAGAAAAGTTTATCATTTCATTTAAAATAAGTTGAAGTGAAAAAAAGAAATCTTTCTGATTGGAATTTAATTCTGACAGTAAGTTGGTATTAGAAAATGGACTAAAATGACATGCAAATATTTTCCTGTCTTCCTTCCTAGGTTATTAAGTGACTCTCCATCTTGTAGAGAAAATGATTCAGTGCAATCAAGGAAAAATGAGGTATGTATAAACTTTTACTGTTCTATTTAAGTTACATGTTCAAATATTTTAGTAATGCCCAAATATTTTTAAAAGTTTATTTGATGCTACTTTTTGAGTCATTAGCTGGCATTCCTTGTTGCAATACAATTCAGCATAACATTGAAATTATTTCTTTGGTACCTATAATTGTGTAAGATACAATGGCTAGTAAAATTATGAGTTATATACTGCTTTAGGCTAAGTTTTAGTAGCCAAAGTGATAGAGTAGGTTTATAAACAATTATAATTGTACTTAGAACATTTTATAGTCTTCCAGAAAAGTACAGATAATAAGTTGTAAGAGTATAGAAGTGGTGGAATAATTAAAATTTTGAGTATTTAGTAGTGAATTCATGTAAGGAATAATTTTTATGAAACTTATAATATTTTTTTGATGCTAACCATTTTTTCTTCAAAACTTATAAAAATAAAAAATTTGGATAATTTTGGTATGGTTTGTGTTGAGGACTTTTACAAAGAAAAACAAGCATTTTAATGTTTTCTCTGTTTTTTGTTTGTTTCTTTGTTTTAAATAGGAAAGTCAAGAGGTATGTTGATGTCATATATCTTGAAAAACAGAAAAACTCATCACTCTGGCAGTGTTCTGATATAGCCTCATTTCACTTAGCATTTGGAGTGCTCCATCTCTCAAGAGAGAAGTTTCCAACCTTTTTTCTACCAAGTATCCCTTTTATTATTGCTCCTATAGATCTGTTATTTAAAATAGATATTATGTAGTTTTTGTTTTTATTTACCAAAGACTTAAAATTGGCAGCAAGAACTTCTGATTAGCATGTGATAGCAGGTGTGATAAAATTATATTAATGCAATAGCTGTTAAATTTGACTAGTTTATTGGCCTGTATATTCTTATGAGGGAAAAATACAGTTTTGTTTAAGGTATATGAAATATTTAAGAAACTAGAAAATCTAATCTACAAATAATACTGGCTTTGGAATCTAAAAGACTTGGGTTGTATTTTTTGCACTGTCATTTATGAGCTATGCTATCTTGGCCCAGTTTTTGACCTTTTTTGGATTTGAGTTTCTTTCCTGAGTAGATATAACACTACCATCCTCTTGGGATTTTTGTTAGGATTAATGGGACCTCATTTGTTAAATGCCTGCTGCTGTACCTAAGGCACAAGAGGAATCAGAAAGTTAAATCCTTTATAAAGCTAATAATATTCCAAAATGGATTATTTAATACTTTCTGTAATTTTAATTTGTTTAAAAATTGACAGATCCATCCTTTAAAGATTTAAAGAATAACAAGGAAACGATTTGTAATCAATTAGGTATCATTTATTCAAAAGAGTTATTGATTACAACTCTACAGTACTGTGCCTGGCACTGTGTAAAAAGATAAAAAGAAGAACTTATAGTACTATTTTTAACAATACTAATATATATTTGAGCATTTTCGATAAAATGTTCTGAATATTTGTTTTGGATGTAGACCTTTTATCTAATAAGCACAAAGGCTAACATTTTAAATGAATTCTCTGCAGAACACTAGAGGATATCCTTTACTCATATGAATGAGAAATTTGGTTTCATGGAAGAATTTTGCCAGGATTAGAGCTTCATTTGTATGTTTACTTAGTGTGTTCACACATACACATGGACTGTCATAGACAGAAAGCAAGAGATGGAGGATTTTTTCCTCTGTCAGTAAACATCACATTAGAAGGTACAAATACTGTACCGTAGAGGAGATTATATTAAGTTGAAAGAAAAGACAAGCTTATTATTGTTTTCTTTAAGCCTCACACTTAAAAGTCTGACCAAACTTTATTGTTCTTGTTTTCTAACAGATTCAGAAAAAACTGTACACATTAGAAGAACACCTCAGCACTGAGACGCAAGCCAAAGAGGAGCTAGAGCAGAAGTACAAGTATGTTCTGGAGAGGGTTCAGTGGTATCTTACAGAATTTAAGTTGAAACGTATTACCAAATTGTAATTATATGATTATTTTCAAATATGTAGTAAGTGCTTTTTTTGTCAGTTAGGAGTTATTTTGTTTACTGTTTCTTTTGAAATTCTTAGATCTGTTAATACTCGCCTGGAGAAGGTAGTAAAGGAGCTGGAAGAAGAGGTAAAGTTGCTCTACACTTTCATTAACGTTTTTGTTCATAAAAAGTTTTGATGCCTGACTTATCTATAGAGTCTCTTTGTACCATGTTAATGTATATCTTGATCTGTAATAAAACCTATGTTGTAGCGTGGGTGGACAGGACTAAAATCATAGAATAATCATGATAATAGGCTTCGTTTTTGTTACATAGTTGTAAAACTTGAGTTAATTTAGAATGTACAGGTGAAAAAGTAAAAAAATTGTGTTTGTATTACTGACGTGGATTAAAAACAGAAAGTGACCGTTGTTTCTTTTTTTAATTTTTATTCATAACATTTTAGATTCAGGTTTTTATTATTTTAAGATGGTGATGGAATAGAAAGTTTGCTTTCAATAGTAAACAAAACACTTATATAGTATTGATTATTCAAGAGTAGTGTGCTATTTGAAAAATATGGAAAACATTATAATTTTTTAATGTTAAAAAATTTTATTTATTTATTTATTTTTAAAAGGGAAGGGAAGGAGAGAAATACCAATGTATGGTTGCTTCTGGTGCATCCTCTGCTGGGAACTGGACCCTGCTGGGGACTGGCCTGCAACCCACGCATGTGCCCTGACTGGGAATCGAACCGCAATCTTTTGGTTCACAGGCGTGCTCAATCCACTGAGCTACACCAGCCAGGGCTCTGGAAAACATTATAATTTTAATAATACAGTAGTTACAGCTTTTATTTAGGTATTTTTATCTGTTTGAAATAACTGAAGCAGTTTTTGTTTTTATTTGATTTTTGTACGTGCTCTTTTTTTGATAATAACTTTAAGCACTATTTCAGATTACTTTAAGGAAGAATGTGGAATCGGCGTTAAGACAATTAGAAAGAGAAAAGGCTCTTCTTCAGCACAAAAATGCAGAATATCAGCGGAAAGCTGATCATGAAGCAGACAAGAAACGAAATTTGGAAAATGATGGTTCGTGGTGTAAAATATTAAGTACTTATCAATAAAAAATTATGTGTGTGTGTATGTAGTGTGTTGAAACTTGCCACTGAAATGCTTTTTATCATAGTTAACAGTTTAAAAGATCAACTTGAAGATTTGAAGAAAAGAAACCAGAATTCTCAAATATCCACTGAGAAAGTGAATCAACTCCAGAGACAGGTAAGTTAATCCCAAATTGTAATAAGGATATTGAAGTTTACTTATGACTGCCTATATTTATAGTTTTAATTGGCAAAGCACAAACGAATTTTACCTCTAATTTTAAAAGGGAATCACTAGGAAGTATTTTTAGGAAATATGTTTATTTTAAATACTTTGTTGTGGGGTAAGAAACTGGAGCATTTTCATTATATACACCTGTATGTGTTTGTTTGTTGTTGTTTAACTTTGAATGGAATAACAGCTGGATGAGACCAATGCTTTGCTGCGAACAGAATCTGATACTGCAGCCCGGTTAAGAAAAAGCCAGGCAGAAAGTTCAAAACAGATTCAACAGCTGGAATCTAACAATAGAGATCTACAGGATAAAAATTGCCTGTTGGAGACCGCCAAGTTAAAACTTGAGAAGGAATTTATCAATCTTCAGTCAGTTCTGGAATCAGAAAGGAGGGACCGAACCCATGGATCAGAGATCATTAATGATTTACAAGGTATTAACAGAGAGACTGCACTTGAATTCATCTTAATGATTCATACTTCAGAAATAAATTTAGATGATGGGTAATGTGCTGGGGTAGCACATTTCTGAATATACTATTATGTAAAGTTAGAGTATTAGAGATACATTAATATTAAATTTTGTGAGCAAAAGATTTACTTACAAATGGTTTGAAGTATTTTAAGTATTAAGCCACCTCCCAAGGTGGTAGATTGGGTTCCAGTTGCATTAACTGCAAAGTAGTATCTCAGCTGTATCAACTATACTAATATCATCAACCTTATCAACAGTTGTAAAACTTTTCATAAATAACAGCTTCAAAGTATGAGGTGGTGTCCAAGTTTCTTACTCTTAATATATATATTTTATTGTGATATATTAATTATATATAATTACATATTATATATATTTATATATAAATATAGACACACACTTTATTATGTATATAGTATACATACACATAACACTTTGTGGGTTTATTGTTTTTAAAATGTTGTCATTTTAGGTAGAATATCTGGCCTAGAAGAAGATTTGAAGAGTGGCAAAATCTTGTTTGCAAAAGTAGAGATGGAGAAGAGACAACTACAGGAGAGATTCACTGATTTGGAAAAGGTAGAACATGTTACGCTTTATTTTTGTGTTAGAAAATAACTGTAGGGTCTCAGATTGGAAAACTTATTCTAAAACGAGGGAAATCATTTATTTCTGCGTACTTGTGGACTCTTTCATATTTAGACTTGGTTGTGTAGAGTAGGGATACGTATGTATTTGTAAGGCTCGCCATAGCACTACACAAGCAGCCCTTAGAATGTTAGATGCTTATGGAGGGAGGGTCTCTCCTTGAGTATGTATAATGAGGATGCTTCTCTCCAGGGGTCCAAGGAAAGCTCAGATTTTCACTAATTACATGTCTTAAAAGTTACATAAAGTTGTCATGACTTTTGGCATTTAGCAGTTTTTGTTTAAAAATAGTGTAAGCTAGGGATAATTTCTAGGTTCTGTGCAGCTCATATTTTTTTCATTTACTTAATTTGTTTATTTAAGTAAGTAATGTATCACCTGTGGTAGAAGTATCAGGATGCATGTAGGCCAATCTAATGGATAATTTCTAAAGTAGTAATAAATCACAGAGATAATTATAATGCAGTGTGGTAAGCAGAATGGTAGAGGCATGGACAAGGGAGATGAGCAGGTACACAGGATGACCCCCAACAGGGCAGGCTGGTTGACAGGGGAGGGGTACACTCTGAGTGGGGGAGGACAGCACGAGCAAAGGCACAGAGGATGGGAAGTTGAAAAGCCTAGTCTGTTTACTTAATTACAGACTGGTCAATATTTCTGGATTATAGAGCAGGGGGCAACAATTTTTAATCTTTTTAAGAGAAAGGTAGTAAATATTTTAGGCTTTGCAGGCCTTAGAGTCTCCATTGCAACTACCCAGTTATGCAGCAATACCTAAAGGAGTGGGTATGGCTATGTTCCGATGAAGTTTTACAAAAATAGCAGGCCAGTCTAGTCCTACCCTCTAAGAGTGGGAATTCAGTGGCCAGAGTGAGGCTGTAAAGCTAGGCATGAGCTAGATCACGCAAGATTTTGAACACTCTGTTAATAGTTTCTTTAAGTAATGGACTGGACACTGAAGATTTTTAAATTGGTCAATCACTGTGTACCATGTGGAGAATAGATTCGAGGAGGATAAGTGGTAGAGACTACCACTTTTAAGCATTCAAATCATGGACACTTAACCAGTACCATGGTTAAAAAGAGGGAAAACAAGGATGACTCTGAGGAATATTTTGAGGAGGGATGTTTGGCAGCAATTAGTAATTGGTTAGATGTGGCATGTGAGTAGTGAGTACTCCAGGATGAGTTTAGGTTCTTAGTTTGTGACAAGATACATACTAGTGCCATCAATCAACAGTAAGAGAAAAATAGCTCTCGTAGAGGAAAGGATCTACAGTGATAGATCCACTTTAGTCATAAGTTTGGGGAGCCTGCGAGACAGCCATATTAGGACATCTACAAAGCAGTAAGTTATGGTAATAGGAGCTATAGAAATATTTCTGATGCATTGATATAGAAGTAGCTGGAATCATGCTAATGGAAGAACCCATCCGGGAAGAATTTGTTTAGAGCAGTGGTTTTTTCAGGGCAGGTATTAGTGAACTATTAGTGTGAAAAGTCATTTTCAGTATTAAGGACTTTATTTCAAACACAAAAGAAATACCTACATTTATGATACGAACTATATAGACAACCAAGAATTAGAAAATCATCTGAGGATGTGTAGAAAATAAACTGACTTCTATTATTAAAGATTCTCAACTTAAAATACACCTCCTGAAGTTGGTATAGCAAAAAGAAACATTTGGTATGTTTTAAAAGTTTGAGAAGTAATAATATAGGAAAAGGAAAAACATTGTGGCTAAAGACACTACCTCCAAGAACACCAACGTTCAAGGGGTATTTGGGGGAAAATTTCACAAGTGCCAGATGAGATGAAAACATGATGGGGAGAATGAAGTGAGTTCAGTGTCACATAGTTTCAAGGGCAACAGTGAGTTCCAGTGAGGTAGGTAAGACTAAAAAGTGTCTATTGAATTTGATGTTGAGAATGCCATGGGTCACTTTATTAAGATCAAATGGTCTCAGTATGACCTCAGAATAGTAGAGTGGAGGGAGGTGTGGCCGTAGGGAAGGTGTGGCAGTGGGAAGAGCACGGGTGCAGTGCACAGATTGCTTGTACAGGAATCGGAATGAATAGAAGAGGGAAAGTCCAGGACATTCTGAGTAAGTCTATAAAAAACCTTTGTAAGCTTTTGAAATTGTCAGCCAGTCTTTTTTGTTATAGCTGTCATTTTAATCTTTAATAGGAAAAGAACAACATGGAGATAGATATGACATACCAACTAAAAGTTATACAGCAGAGCTTGGAACAAGAAGAAGCTGAACATAAAGCTACAAAAGCCCGGCTGGCAGATAAAAATAAGATTTATGAATCCATCGAAGAAGCTAAATCAGAAGCCATGAAAGGTACACATTTTTATGAGGGTTTTCCAGCAGCATTTTACTAAGACTTGATTCTATGTTCAATTCTTTGATTTTGAAAATACTTGTTTATATTTTATTATCAAATACTAGAGGGGAAACACTATCATGGAAGCTTTACATATATATGTATTTCCCCCTCCCCGTAGCAACAGTCATTTCTAAGAAAAGAAGGCCCAAACAAAATAATTCAACAAAATTTTTAGAGCAGAGAGAAATCAGTATTTTGGTGCTATTGATAGTAACAGGCATATAGAACGTGAAGTCCTAATACACTACTTGATTTGGGGGATGTGCTCTTTTTTTAATACTTAGTTCGATATTTCATCAGCTTGTGGTTCTTGCCACTTTCTTCAAGATAAATATTTTAAAATAGTAGGCTGACTTAACTAAAATAGAAGCTCACTGAGTTTTTGGAGCTTTGGCATAATGAAGATACCAGCTAGATTTGATCAGAACTGGTCAAAGGCACTGATTCAGGTTGATAAAAGATCAAATGGGTGCTCTATTTGGAAAAATTGGATTAGAAGAGATGAAGTTTGTGGGCCATGTTTCTCTGTCTGTGGCCTAGAAGACAATGGAATTTCTTTTGAGGTATAATTTGGTGCAATAAAATGCAGACATTTTTTGTATTTGTAGTGTGCACGTGTAACCATCACCCAAAACAAGGTATAGAACCTATTTTTCCATCACCTTGGTAAATTCACTTATGCTTCTTTCTATTTTCTGTGCCCACATTAGGGTGATTATTTTTTTTAAATGATCACATTTGTTCACAGATTATTCTCTGAACTAATGAAAATAAATTTTGTATAACTACCATTTTTTAAACTCTTACAGCACTATCTTAAGATGTATGACTTTGGTATTTTACATAAGTACATAAAACTTAAATATTAGAGGTGGTATTCAAATCTGGGTCTAAATCCTTTGATCTTTCCACTGCATATTATTACCTCCTTTGATTAAGAATCTAACTTCACCATCAATGAATTACTACCTATGTGACCTTGCCTAGTTACTTAAACTTTTGTGCCTTGTTTCCTATAAAGGGACAATTAAAGTATTAGATTATTGTGAAAACCAAGTGCAATGATACATGAACAGTGCTTAGAAATGCTGTTATTAATGATATGTGAAAAAGTTTCATTTTTCTACACTTTTGAAGACAATTCATTAAAAACTGAAAGTCGTAGGCTTCATTTTTAGTTAGTATAACTTTCTACTAAATGATAGCTAGACATTGAGCTTTAGGTATGAAGGAGCTGAGGAACCTAGAACAGGTTTTCTAATTGGGATAGCAAAAGGTAAGTTCAATTGTAATAACTTACATTTAATAGGGAATCACTTGATTAGACTAAACTTTGCCTGCTGTACACTTTGAGATTGAAAAAGGTTTTTAAAAGCCTTTCTTATTAATAAAACAAAAGCTGTTGTGAGTCTTTAGAAAATATAAGAAAGTATAAACTAAGTCAAGACTAACCATAATCTTAGTAACCAGAGTGACACTTGTATATTTTCTCAGTTTTTTCATAGTTTTGCTTTTTAAAAAAAAAAAATACTGTGAACATTTTCTTGGGTCATTAAAAATTCTTTTTTAATAGTGAACACTTCCTGTTTGCTATGCACCAGGTATCATTTAAGTGCTACACATATATTAACTCAGAATCTGTGTAACTTCCCTACGAGGGTAGGTGCTGTTATCACCGTTCTAGAGATAAGGCAGCTGAGCCTCAAGAAGGTTAATTAACTTCACCAATCAAGTAATTAGGAAGAGGTGGAGCCAGGGTTTAAACACCGCAAGTTTGCCTCCACAGCCCAGATCTCTACCACCTCCCTAAAACACCGCTTTCATCCTTGTCCTGTGATATGCTAAGATGGACAGAAGAACCATAGAAAAGGTCAGAGAATCTACCTGAATGTGAGGTAAGGCAGGCAGCACTGAGAGGCACAGAGTATCAGGAAAATAAAGAATCTGTATTTAAAAGATGCTCATATCTTTTAGAGCCATAAGTAAAGTAGGATTATTTTACTTCCATTAGAATGGACGTAATGTCTCAAAGGCATACCCTGCAAATGAAACACCTGACTTTCAAGAATGAAATTGTTGACGTTTCAAATACAGTAACAGGAGTGATTAAAATATTAAACTGAGGATTAAAAAAAATTTTTTTAAATATTTTATTATTTATTTATCTTTAGAGGGGAAGGGGGGGAAGGAGAGAGGGAGAGAAACATCAATGTATGGTTGCCTTTTGTGCGTCCCCTGCTGGGAACTGGCCTGCAGGGAACCGGCCTGCAACCCAGGCATGTACCCTGACTGGGAATCGAACCGCGATCGTGTGGTTCGCAGTAAAAAATATTTTTAAGGAGTATCATTTACTATAATTTTTATTAACACTGCATCATGTATTTGATGCAGTTCTTTTGTTTGTAAATTCATGATTATGTTCATTTTTTGTGGCAACAGAAATGGAAAAAAAGCTCTTGGAAGAAAGGGTTTTAAAACAGAAAGTGGAGAACTTGCTCCTGGAAGCTGAGAAAAGATGCTCTCTATTAGACTGTGACTTTAAACAGTCACAGCAGAAAATAAATGAACTCCTTAAACAGAAAGATGTTCTAAACGAAGATGTAAGTATGTTTACTAGTAAATAATAAACTATTTAATAAATTAATAATAAACTAGGTTTATTTGTAAAGGAACAATGATGGTTTCATAATTAAATTTTTTTCTTATTCTGTGAACTTTCAATTTTACTGAATTTGGATAATGTATTAAATGAACCATAATTTTAAGAACTTTAGTTATTTTTACCATAAAGACTTTATTTAAAAATATAACTATCAAAAATACAAAAAATATATTTTACTGTGAAATGAATTTACTATGTAAGGACAAAAATCTGTTTTGAGTCATCATATAGGCTGCCAGCTTCATTGATAAGAAAAAATCAAAATTACCCACATATCAAGGTACACAATTTATTTTTTAGGTTAGAAACTTGACATTAAAAATAGAGCAGGAAACTCAAAAGCGCTGCCTCACACAAAATGACTTGAAGATGCAAACACAGCAAGTCAACACACTAAAAATGTCAGAAAAGCAGTTAAAACAAGAGAATAATCATCTCATGGAAATGAAAATAAACTTGGAAAAACAGAATGCTGAACTTCGAAAGTAAGTTAATTATTTGAAACAGAGTTTTACTAATATGCACAACTATCCACATATAAATTATTTTAAATTTGTTTATCTTGGATTTTTTTTTTTACCATTTTATTTTCTTGACCATTTGTCTCTTTTTTTCTGTACAAGTAATGCACTGCGCCACTGTCGTTCTTTAAGATCATAACTTGCTTCCCCAGCACTTCGGACGGCGGCTGCCTGACTCTGAGAGCGCGATGGGAGCGGGGGGCCGGGGCGGAGAAAGTGTCTGCGTTTCTCACCCCTGCTCTTCACGTTCCTTCTCGAGCTGTCTCTCAAGCTCGTCGTCCACGTAGTTTTTGTTTGTTCCTTTAGTGTCTGGGACTTGGAAATGTTTCAGTGTTAAGCACATACCATATAGAATTTTAAAACATTTTCCCAGCATATATTCTAGTGCCCTGTTCACTTAGAAAATAGAAAATATACTAAAATAACATTTTGAAAAACTATAATTTTGCTTTTTAAAAAAATATCTTACGTATGTATGTATTTTAGACACAGGAGAAGGGAGGGAGAAAGAGAAGGAGAGATATATCAATGTTTGGTTGCCTCTCACATGCCCCTGTAGTGGGGACCAGACCTTGGCCACAACCCAGCTATGAGCAGCCCTGACTGGGAATCCAACCAGTGAACCTTTGGTTCGCAGGCTGGCACTCAATCCACTGAGCCACACCAGCCCGGACTCATACTTGCCTTTTTTTTTTTTAAGAAGCCTAAAATTAACTTATTTCAACCTAACCTCTTAAAATGGGGTGTTAGACTCACTTTTAATTTTACTTATAATTTAATTTTATTTCTTTATTGAAGATTAGCATACATATAGCAAGAGTACACAAATGATCAATGTAGAGCTCACTGAATTTTTACAAAGTATAAAATCTGTGCGGCTGCCAGCTACATTTAGATATAAAATCCCGTACTCTTTACCTCCCCTCAGGCCTTCTCCCATTCACCCATATGAGATAACCAATTTGGGGTTTCTCTCTTAATTCTACACTTGGTTGGCATAAATGGCTGATTATAGTGCATGTATAAGAATATGTAATTTAGACTCTTAAAAATTATTGAGGTTGCCCTGGCTGGTGTGGCTCAGTTGGATGGAGTGTTGTCCCACAGACCGGCAAGTTACAGGTTCGGTTCCTGGTCAGGCCGCACACCCAGGTTTTGGATTCGATCCCCAGTCGAGGTGTGCACAGGAAGGCAGCTGGTCCGTGTTTCTCTCCCACATCTCTCTCCCTCCCACCTCTTTTCCTCTCTCTAAAAGCGATGAAAAATTGTCCTCGGTAGGATAAAAAATTTTTTCATTATTGAAGGCCATAGAATTTTTTTTATCTGAGATATATCTAATAGTATTTTTTGCCTTAAAAATTAAAACTGAGGGAATTTTAAAACATAGAAACATGAAAGAACACATTTCATTAGCGGCTGGAGTGATGACGTCATGATGTGTCGTGGAGCTTCAACACAGTCCATGTACACCAGTGAGAGGACGGAAGTTTAGCACAGTGGTGCGCACATAGTGTTGTGAACGCGGTTTGACCTCGGGGTCCTGGGGACGGGGCTGAGGGCCTTGCAGGGGACTCTCACACTACACTTTAGGAGTCATGGTTTTAACACGTGTGTAACTCGTTTAACATTTGACTCAATATTGCCCCAGAGAGCGTCAGGATGCAGATGGGCAGATGAAAGAGCTCCAAGACCAGCTTGAAGCAGAGCAGTATTTCTCAGTAAGTTCCAAACACATTAATCTGAAAACTTATATTTGTAGAATAAAAAAAAATGCTGCACAGCTTGCAGAATGATTCTTGTGTTTAGACTAGATTGTTATCATTGTTTACAAAAGAGCTCTAAGCACAGGCCCATCCCTTATGAACTTGATTAAAAGCATTGCTTTTAGAGGAATACTGTTTTTGTAATGAGACAAATAAAGTTGTTATTGTAACATTCATACTTTTTTTAGCTCAGTTTTAAAATATGAAATAGTAGCTGTTATTTCTGTTTCATCAATTTAAGCCAACAAAATTATCTAGTCTAAATTAGTCATTTTTTTGTCTCTTCATCCCTACCAGTCTCTGTCATTTAATGAGAAATCCTAGTATGATGTCCAGTTGAAAATCATGCTTCTAAATCATTAGCTGAACTGTACTAGTTAATCGGTTGATTATAAGGAAATAGAAAAGCTCATTAAACTATTACTTTGCTCAGTGGCTCAGCATTACTCAGTGTTATGAATATATGTTTATGTGCTCAACTTTTTGTGTAGATACATTATAAATGTAAAAATAGTATTCTTGATGATGGTGGTGGTTTATGTTTCTTTTATGTTTTTCTGTGTAGACCCTCTATAAAACACAGGTTAGGGAACTTAAAGAAGAATGTGAAGAGAAGACCAAACTGTGTAAAGAATTACAGCAGAAGAAACAGGAATTACAGGATGAAAGGTAAGGACAGGGTCCCGTCTCTTTTGTTCGTAGGTACGTACCCTGCTCCTAGAAGAGTGCCTGCTCTACCCAAATAGAGATTGGTGAATGGAGTGAGTCAGACACAAACTTTGACTTCACAGTGAAAAGTCGAACATTAAGATGATATATCTCTAAAATGTAGGGACTCCTTGGCTGCTCAGCTGGAGATCACCTTGACCAAAGCAGATTCTGAGCAGCTGGCACGTTCAATTGCTGAAGAACAGTATTCTGATTTGGAAAAAGAGAAAATCATGAAAGAGCTAGAGATCAAAGAGATGATGGCGAGGCACAAACAGGAACTCAGTGAAAAAGATGCTACAATTGCATCTGTAAGTAAATTCTTGTTTGTTTGTTTTTTTTTCATTATAATTAAATTACTATATCATAAGTTGTTTTTAGAAGCACTAGGAAAATATTGTAACATAGATCTAAGTGAAAAATTATACACGCTGGCTACGAGATTTTCCACCACTTAACCATCAGTTTCTCAGCGTTGTTTATACTCATCACGTTGGCAGAGATTCAATAACTTGACTAATTTTAGATGTTTGAAGGATGTCTGGAAAATGGCATTCATATTTATTATTGTGAAGCATGTAGATTTAGTATCATAGAATAGTGTGGCAATTTCCAGTAAATTTTAAACATTCATATTATCCAAAGAAAGTCCACACACATTAAGATAAATTTGCTAGTGGGATTCAGGCACAGTACTCACAGCAGCATGAATGTTTGTAATAGCAAAAACTCAGTTGTCTTTTCAGTAGGTGAATGAGTGGATGGATGAAATGTGGTGGAATATGAAACTCCTATATGAGTTAAAATGAATTAGATCTTTGTATCAACAACCCAATATAATTTTGAGTGAAAGCAGCTACAGAAAGATAAATACAGCATGGTGCTCTTTATGGATTATTTAAAATCACATAAAACTCTACTATATATTGTTTCATGTTTATGTAATAAAAATACACAGTCATGAATGAAAAGGATGGAACAGTTCACAGTAAAAATTCCTTCAGAAAGGAAGAATAGGAACAGGATTTGGAGAGAATACAAAAGGACATCAACTTTCTTTAGTAAAATTTTATATTCTGTTTTAAAACAATGTTCCAAAAGAAATACTGCAGTTTTAAATTTTGTTTATTCTGTATGATAGAACGCAGAGCTTTGTTATAGTTATTTGCTTTTTTTCAGTTTATTAAAGGTTTTTCTCATTAAAAATACTGCTTAGGATATTTGAGAGAAGGACGGTTTTTTTCGGCTTCTTGGGGTGCATATGAAGTTTTATTGCGGTTAGGAAAATTTTCTTCAAGAGTGAAGTTTGGTAAGGTAACATAAAGGCAAGACATCTAGAGATAGAGGTAGTTAGAAAAACAAGAGTTGTAGCAACATTCTAGGATATTTTCATTTTGAATTACTGCTTTATAATTTAAATTTATAAATTGGAGTGTGATATTTATTCTACTTTAATTTCTTAGCTTGAAGAAACTAATAGGACACTAACTAGTGATGTTGCCAATCTTGCAAATGAGAAAGAAGAATTAAATAACAAATTGAAAGATGCCCAAGAACGTATGTATTAACATAGAATGTTTATTTTAAATATATTTCATAGTTGTGTCTTAGTTATATAATGTTTACATTTCTCCATTTTCAGAACTGTCAAGGTTGAAAGATGAAGAAATAAGTGCAGCAGCTATTAAAGCACAATTCGAGAAGCAGTTGTTAACAGAGAGAACACTGAAAACTCAAGTATGTAGAATAAACTCTAAATAGGATTGTGCATTTTTTTAGTTTGTCTTTTACAGTTTACCTCTGGTGTTACAGATTGTCCACAGCAGTCATTGAATGTATCAGTATTTATGAACAGTCATAGTGATTTTTGCCAAGTTAGTAGAAGCTAGATTTGATTAACATTGACCAGTTCAATGTTTAAGTTTTTTGTTAATTTTTTCATACCGAGTCACATTCCTTCCTAATTTTTATCATAATCTGATAAGTTTTTTCTTTTTAATAAACTATAGAGAATGACCATTTGCCGACAGCCTGGAAAAGGGTCAGTCGTACAGGTGCTTGTGACTATTGACCACCTTCTGCCGGCTGTCACAGTTGTGCATACACCACCGATACTTGTGGGTCCCCGGGGCTCTGCTCTGTGGTTGGACGTGCATTCTATTAATGTGATGCCACTGCAAGTAAAAATCTCTCTTGAAACTTAAGAATTCACAGTGACAAAAAGTGACATGCAGTTGAACCCATAAACATTTCATGTCACAATTCTCAGAAAACATAAGTGAAAAACTAATGAGTACAGACTGGGGAAGGGTAATGAGGAATGAAAGGAGACGTGTTACTTAATGTACAGTGTTTTTTGGTGGCCCTGTGCAAAGCGGCGAAGACTATTAGTGGTTGTATAACTTGCTATTGATGAGTTACCAAGCAACCATCAACATAATGTATTTTATTTATTCATATTCTTATTCTTGTGTTTTTAAGGCTGTGAATAAGTTGGCTGAGATCATGAATCGGAAAGAGCCTATCAAACGTGGCAGTGACACAGACGTGCGGAGAAAAGAGAAGGAGAATAGGAAGCTGCACATGGAGCTGAAGTCTGAACGTGAAAAATTGACGCAGCAGATGATCAAGTATCAGAAAGAACTGAATGAAATGCAGGCTGTAAGGATGCTTTTTGAACTCTAGACTGAGGACTTCTTTTTTAGAAGTAGACTTTAATATCTGTGTGTATTTTATTGGTTATAGAACATTTCTGTTAATAATTATTAAACTAAGAATAAGAATAAAAATTCATGAGATATATGGCATCCAGCTAATATAACATAATTTAATTTCTCATAGCAAATAGCTGAAGAGAGCCAAATTCGAATTGAACTGCAGATGACACTGGACAGTAAAGACAGTGACATTGAGCAGCTGCGGTCACAGCTCCAGGCCTTACACATGGGCATGGACAGTTCCAGCACAGGCAGTGGGCCCGGGGACACTGAGGCGGATGATGGGTTTCCAGGTACAAGCTTGTTTTTAGCCCTTACATTTATTCTTATTAAAAGACTTCTGTCTTAAATATAAAACTGATGGCTGTTTTAAAGCCCTGTGACGACTGACTTTGTTCCTGAGGAAAATGTTTGTGATTTCTTTAAGGGAAGAACCTGCTCCTTGGAGTGGAGGTTCCAACAACAGCTTAAACCTACTGTACTTAGTGACTTTTGACAAAATTTTTCATTAAAAACACAAAGGAAAATTCCACATATTTAGTTACTTAAATTAGCTCATTATATAGTTTAAGTAGCTCTCCTTTTAAGTTTTTATTTTTTTCTTCTCTTAACTCTTTTCTGCGTTCTTACTTTTTTATGTTGGGTCTTTAGTCCATGTCACTCAGTCACACACTATGGAATCCATGTCATTCACCTACCAGCGCTCCTCCACCTCTCTCAGTATTGCCACTAAGCCTTCCAGTTCTCGTTCGCTCCTTGACTCTGACTCTGATTCAGAAGAAGACTCTTTGCCTTACTTACCTATCTCATCGGGACCTAATGATACAGGTGATATCCTGAAAACCTTTCACCTTGCTCACTATTCTTAATTTTAAGTCCTTGTGAAAAACTTTGGAAACATTAACTGATATTCACTAACTCTAGCCAGTTGCTCTAGTCTCAATTAAAAAGAGACTGCTGCATGAAAAAAGAGTTTGTTTTCAGGGTATTTGCACACGGCATTACTTTTATTGTACAACTGATAGATTGATTTTGTGGGCTTACAAGAAATGAGGCAGCGCTTTGCATCATTTAAGAGCATATGGTTTCACAACCTGTTTTATCCATGTTCAACCAGGAAGAAATTCTTTCTGAAATTTCATATTCAGAGAGACAGTATGGAAAAGGCATGCAGGCTGTCTTGGAAGGTGCACTTGGGTTTGCAGCGAGTGCTCACCACGCAGCACTTCGCTGGGCCTCGAAAGACAGTTTGACCTTATCTTTGTTCTTGTAGTGTAAGTAAAGACACTGGACAGAAAGCACATAAAATTGTGTTTATACAAAGTTGGCGTAAGTACAAAAACATGTAATGTAGATGCCACAGGAAATTGGTGTAGGAACAGTTGAATGTGAGATAAAATTTAGCCTTTTATTGGGAGGGGGGGTGGTGGGGGAAATGGAAACAACTGTACTTGAACAACAATAACAAAATAAAATAAAAAGAAATCAAAGTAAAATAACAGTAGTTACCATATTTTCCCACTTATAATGCTCTCTCGTGTATAATATGCATTCTTATTTTTCCCTCAAAAATTTGGGCCAAAAAATACGCATTCTATGTGGCAGAATGCTACATTGTCACCACATTTCCCAGGTATACATCAGTATATAATATAAAACACAAGTGGTTGTATTGAAGTTGTTTTAGAGCTTAGCAATAAAATTATTTCAGTCTTACGCCTGTTGTTAGGAGTCATCCGACTTAGCCCTTTAAACTGGTGTAGGACCAGGTCCAGGGCTGCGCATGCAGCTGTTTTGATGACGGCGTTTCTGTGGGAGAGTTTGGAGGATGAGAAGGGTGCCTGGGTGCTGGGCTCAGAGGCTTGTCCCTTGTGACTTTCCTGCAGGCACTGGGGGGGGAAGGGAAGTTGATGTGGGGCGTCTCGCACAGTGCAGACACATAGTATTTGTAGAACAGGCCAGAGTTACTTTTCTTATTAGAATAATGTCAAAATGTTTACTCTCCTTAATTAGTTTATTAAAAGATGTTAATGAAATGCCAGTAGAACAAATTCTAAGTTCAGTTTCCTTTACTAGAATTGTATTGATTTTGATGTTTTAGAATTTAGACATCTTTTGGTTGTATTTCTACTCATTAATCAAACTTAATCTGTAATATGCACAATTTTGTTTCATTTTATTACAGCCATTCTAAAAGTTCATTTTTCCTGAACATGTAATTACTCACTTGAAATGTTTTCTTAGAAGAAAATGTGTGGTATATCTGTAGTTAGGCCTCCCAAAGGAAAAACAAAGGACTCCAGTACAGGTCGATTAGTGAGAATAGAGCGCTGCTTCTCTTTCTTGCAACTTTTCTGCTGAACTTTGCAAATGCATGGATTTAATCAGTGGGGCATTTGACTATAAACTACAGAATATGTATGTATTTCCAATATGATATAACCTGAATTTTGTTTGCATTGCTTAGCTTGCTTATACTGATCCCGTGTTATTATATCCTAGCTAATGTGCAGTGGTAAATTCTGAAAGGTAGATTGATTTGTGACTTTATGTTAAAATTGTATTAAATTTCCCATTTTCTTAGCAGAATTTTTTATTTTTCCTCATATCTTGGGTTTTTCTTACAGAATCAAGACTAGAGGGATGGCTTTCATTGCCTGTGAGAAATAACACTAAGAAGTTTGGATGGGTTAGAAAGGTAAGTGGCGCTTTAGAATATGGCTCTTTTGCTCCACTCTTAGTTGGTTTGGCTACAGCCCTTTCACTTCTTCAGTTTTAAGATACACCCAACTGATGTAACTAGGGCCTTGAGACACATAAAACTTGTTTGTGCTTTCTGAGTTGGAGTGATACGATTTTATATATCTTTGTAAAAAGTAACTTTATCATTAATAGAGTGTTAATAATAAAACATGTTTTGGTGTTAAGAAAACAGACACCCGTGCTTTTGCGCATTTGGTGGGAAAACCACTCTGGGTATGACTGAAAGACCCCCTTATTTTTTTTCCTTTGTTACTATGGTTATTGATGTTATCATGTTCAGTTTTGATGTGTGTAGTTCTTTCAGGTACTTTGTGCTAACAAAATACCACAGGCTGGGTAGCTTAGGAAAAACGGAAAGTTATTCCTCGTGGTTCCGGAAGCCGGAGGTCCAGGACGCTGGCATGGTTGGGCCCTGTGAAGGCCCTCTTCCGGACTGCAGACTTCCCGTTTAGTCCTCCCGAGGCAGAAGGGGCTTGGGGTCTCTCTGAAACCCCCTTTGTATGACCGTCGATCCCATTTATGAGGGCTTTGCTCTTGTGACATAGTCACCTTCCGAAAGCCCTTCCTCCTAATACTGTCCCATTGGGCCTGAGGTTTGACTTACTGATCTGAGGGGGACGTAAACAGTAACAGGTTACCTGTGCTATTGGATCTTGAAGCCAAATCAATCTAAAAATATATCTGAATTCATTTTTAATTTGCTTATTTAAATTATATACAAGCACAATTTTTTATTATTTTAAAGAAGACTTTTCTAAGGGTATATTAAGAACTTTTTAGTTATTTAACTTAGGTATTTTATGTGATTTTTATTGCTAAAAGAAAGTTTATTTTCAAAGAAAATAAGATGCATGTCAACTTTAATCATTGTTTAATTTCTTCCCTTCTTTTTAACAGTATGTGATTGTAAGCAGTAAGAAGATTCTTTTCTATGACAGTGAACAAGATAAAGAACAATCTAATCCTTACATGGTTTTAGATATAGAGTAAGTGTTTTTACTGGAATATTTAGGAACTTCATTTTTTAAGTATGAGAGAGTGATGACCTCTTCTGCCACGCTGATGCAGTGTGTTAGTCGTGTGGTAGAACGCGTGCACTCGCGTAGGACAGCGCCTGCCGTGTGTCATTGCACTGTTTGTGTTTGCTTCGTGCAGGTGGAGATCTGGGGTATGAAGTAGCTAAATCATTATTTCATGTGTCTTTACTGTGTTGTTTTCTGAAACTAATCATGAAACTTTCTGACTTACTGAAAATTTCTCCAAATCTCAAGTGATTGACGTAATAGAGCAAGATATTCTTTGACTTTCTAACATGGGTCAAAGTAGTCAGTTTTAATGTCCAACTAGTATTGGATAACTAATGTAACTTGATTTTTTGATAATATTTCATTCCTTTATTAACATTTTTTATAGCAAGTTGTTTCATGTCCGACCAGTCACACAGACAGATGTATATAGAGCAGATGCTAAAGAGATTCCAAGGATATTTCAGGTAAACCTAGTTTCACTTTGTTTTTGGTTGGTTGATTCTTATTTTCTGTTTTTGTTTTTGTTTTTGTTTTCCTTTTTAGAGATTTTAAGCATTATGTGACATTAAATTCTTTTATTAGTGGGCCATCTTCAGATTACCTTTCAGTTTTAGTCCCCTTTAAAGGCGGTTCATTCTTTTGTGACATTTCATGCCTGTTCTGTCTGGATATGTCTTCATTCCTCTGACCATTTAATTTACATTTCAAAGTCTGTAATGTATTTATATCATGTTTCCTGTTTTTGCCAACCTTTTGTTCAAGTGTGCTTATGATTTTTTAAGCATTAAATTTTGTCCTTCTGGTTTTGGTTTTATGTTCTGCTCTCTAGAAAGTGAAAAAAGTTGCTCATAAAGTTAAATTTTGCACCCAGTAGCCCTTTTCTTCTGATATAAAGTCAAGCCAAAGTCTTCTTTGTACTACTTTCATTTTAAAGTTAGTCAAACCGCTGGTGTGGCTCAGTGCATTGAATGCTGGTCTGCAAGCTGAAAGGTCCCTGGTTCGATTCCTAGTCAGAGCACATGCCTGGTTGCAAGCCAGGTCCCCCAGTAGAGGGGGTGTGCGGGAGGCATCTGATTGATGTGTCTCTCACACATCGATGTTTCTCGCCCTCTCTTCCTTCCCCTCTCTCTAAAAATAAATAAATAAAATATTTAAAATTAGTCAAACCAACAATTAGTTACTGAGTCCCTTCCACGTAAAAGCCACTGTGCTTGGTGTGCTGTGGGGGAGTTCTTTTCTGGTGCTCATCCTGTTGACTTGGAGTATGTCACATACCTTCCCCTCTTTTCCTTTCTCCATCAAGTCTCCAGACACAAATCTTTTCGGTTATAGCTGTGTTTGCAGTTATCAGCAGTCATGCAGTTGCCACATCTCTTCAGGTGATTATTTTGAACACCCTTCCAGAACAATGTTCTAGCACTCCTCAAGTGTAAATTTACATTTTGCTAGCTTAATCTGATAAAACTGCTGAAATATAGTAAGATATCATGGGAAAAAAAGAAGGCACCATTTGAACAGGATTGATTCTTTTGAAATGAACCAAAGTGATGGTTTAATGACTTTTCTCATACAAGCTCATGATGAGACAGAACTTACTAACATTTGAATGTCAGATCCATTTTCTTCTTACTGAATAATTTAGGTTAATTTTATTTTATTTATATTGTGAGAATGTTATTATATACGAAATTACTTTTGTTTAGAAATAACTCATTGTGCTTTTTGGTATTTACAGATTCTGTATGCCAATGAAGGAGAAAGTAAGAAGGAACAAGAGTTTCCAGTGGAGCCAGTGGGAGAAAAGTCTAATTATATTTGCCATAAGGGACATGAATTTATTCCTACTCTCTATCATTTCCCAACCAACTGCGAGGCTTGTATGAAGCCGTTGTGGCATATGTTCAAGCCGCCTCCTGCGTTAGAGTGCCGCCGCTGCCATATCAAGTGCCATAAAGATCACATGGACAAAAAGGAGGAGATTATAGCGCCTTGCAAAGGTAAACAGCAGCTTACTTGCTCCGTCAGTATTATTTATGTTCAAGTCATTTTAAACACATTAAATTTTTTCAAATATTTTATAGTGTACTATGATATTTCAACGGCAAAGAATCTGTTGATATTAGCAAATTCTACAGAAGAACAGCAAAAGTGGGTTAGTCGATTGGTGAAAAAGATACCTAAAAAGCCTCCAGCTCCAGACCCTTTTGCACGGTCATCTCCTAGAACTTCAATGAAGATACAGCAGAACCAGTCCATTAGACGGCCAAGTCGACAGCTCGCTCCGAATAAACCAAGGTAATAACTAAAAAGGTGGTGAAGATTACAGTGTTTAGAAATATTTTGCTATTCATATTTAAACTATACTTTTTTCTAATTACAGTTTTCCTTTCCTTGATATTGTACTTAACTGTGGAATACCAAATGTTCGAAACTGTTTAAACTTGCATGTCTTATTCATTGATTTAGATGAATGTAATATAAATTTATTTACTGAATTACACACATATATTTAACTCAACCAAAAATACACAAAGGGCTCATTTTTGTCACATTTCTCTATGTAATCGTAACGTTTTAGAATTATGGGCACACTGACTAACCTAGCGACTTAGTGGACAGAACGCGCACATGGCCCTCTGAGTGTCAGGCACACACTGTGTTTGATGCTGCAGCGTCTTAACATCTTCTGTGTTGGATGATTGGGGAGGCAGGGCTGAAGTCCTACTTCTTAACTGAGATTTCTAAGTCTAAAGTAATAATTTGTCTTTGATTTAAAGAGCAATATTGATCACCTTTAAAAATGCAGGCAGTAACTAATGGGTAAAGTGGACATCCTTGTAATTGAAGAGAAGTTGGGATTATGGGGCGAGTCCAGAGAGTAGCATTAATGCACAGAAACATTTGAGGGGAGCCGGTTTATGTGGGTACATTATAGTAACGTAGTTACTCATTCAGAATAAACCATTTCTGGTCTTACTAGATACTGCAATGTTTATAAATATAGCTGTTCATGAAAAGGAAGATTTGGTTGTCTGAAGGGTACAGTGTGTACTTAGGTCAGGTGTCTAACTGCAGGTATCCTTTTTGTTCCCTGACACAGGGCCTTCAGTGTGTGAATAATGATGTGCATTGGCTGTATTCTCAGAAAACTTTTCATTCTAACCACAAACATCTTATATGAAACTTTTCTTGAAAGTAATATCTCAAGAAAATAATTTAGAATGACAAAGGTAGAATTGGTGTTACAGCAGTGAAAAATATTGAATTTTTGTGTGAGGTATGCTAAAAAATATTATGAAATTAGTGATTATGTGATAGTAATTAAGCTGAAGAAACTTAATTCAGAGATGCTTGAGGTCATTTCATGTGCCATGTACCAAACATCTAAAACTTATTAAATTTCTATTATTAATATTGTAGAACTATTAATGCATAAATGCTGTTTTAATTCTTTACCATATATAGTGCTTTACAGCTTCTGAAGTGCCTCTGTATATAACTTACTGTATATTCTCTTACTTGATCTTTACAGTACTCCTGTGGAGTATATTTGGTGTTATTTTTCTTTTTGATTCAGACTCCAGAAGGGCAAATAATTTGTTTAGTTTCAAGATTATAAGAACTCTAGTCTTTTTCATATATTTTATTCTTTTGTCCTGTTTGACGAGTTAATGATTTCACTACAAGTGATAACACGTAGGATTTGTTTATGGAGCAATGTTCAGACCTAGAGAGGCATGTGTTCAGTTGCATGACTGTTTCATGTTCATTCACTTTCCTTCTTCCCTCCTCCCCTAGTTCAGCATTATGGACTATCTGAAAGCATGTTTACTTTTGATTTTTGTTACTTTTTGTTCTGTTTTAGTTCTGGCCCTGCCCTTCAAATCATTCTTCATTGATTTCTTTTAATACATTTTACATAGCAACAGTAAGTAATAGGGATTTCTTTCACAACTATGCATGTAGATAAAACTAATGGCAAAACTGACTGTAAAATGTATAGAGTATTTTTGTGAAATTTTTTAATCTAGTATACTCTTTGAAGTTTTAAATATAAAGTTTAATTTTGTATTTTATTATACCGCTGCAATAGTATTTCCATTGGGCTTAACATCTCTGCCCCCATTGCTTTTTACCTTGTTGCATCTGTGTCTGCCTCCCATGAGTAACCTCACAGTCTGCACTCCTTTTTGGGAGTCACGTTTAAGAAGGGCACAGGTCAGAGGGTGTACACAGGAGAATGAGGGGCTAGTGAGTTGTTTGAAAGTATAACTCATGCTGCAAGTGGAGAAACTAAGGGCATTTAATTTTCTGAAGAAATTGTTTGAAAGAATGGGCGATCATAAACAGCAATAAAGATTTTTAAAGTATAAAGTACTTCTGCTTAGAAGTTATGTTAGAACAGGAGCCAAGTGGAGAGGCACATTTTTAACTCAGCAGGGGCAAGCTCCCAAGTAGCTGGAAGTTCCAGAGTGGGGAGGGTAGGCTTGCTCTAGAGCGGGCGCCCTGCCACCGCGGGCGCTCACTGACTTGGAGATGGCCCAGGCTCCCCGGTCTGTCCTGTGTAGCAGCCTGGCACTGTGCAGCGTGGCTCCCGTGGATAGCATTCTGCTCGTGTTATAAATAACACGTTCCTCCAGAAAGGTGGGCGGAGCTGTTAAAAGATCATCCCAGGAAATTTAGGACCTGAATTTCAGGTGTGTATCAGCAGTAAGTTAATAATCTAGCTGTTTATTTCTGTTTATGTAACATTACTCTTAGGACTCGTCAGTCTAGCTTTAGTTTAACTAATTACCATGGGGTCTTCTTAAAAACAAAGATTTGGCTTTGGTATATATCGTATATATATATATGATGTGATATAAATGCTATAACAGAACACCCGTACATACACCTAATCTTTTTTTTAACTTTTCTCAGTGTCTGCTTTGTTAGCAGTTGCACTGTTACATTTTCCCCTTTGACTTTTGTGGTGTCCCTGGTTCTGATTCTCCCATTAACTCTCTGTGCCACTTCCCTTTTTCTGTGGTGGATTGTTTTAAAGTGATAGTTAAATAAGTGGTAGCTATTATTATTGTTATTATTATTAACATTTTGAGGGCATAGTATATATGCCAGATACTTTCTTTAACTGTACTAAATTACCCTTACAACCACCCTGTGATTTAGCATTAATTCCCACCTAACAGACGATGAGACCGAGATGTAGACACAGTGTGCGTCCAGGGCCGCGCCGCTGCCCGGCTGCAGAGCCTGGAGTGCGGAGCTGCGGTCTAGTTCCACACTCGGCATTCTCTCCTGTACCTAACGCTCCATGGCCTCACAGCCGTGTGAAGAGAAACAAGTTGACAAGTTATAAAATGTGTGGAAATGCTATTTCCAGAGAAATTAAAGTACTGTATTGGAAAGTTAGGAAATTTATGAATAGAGTGCTGACTTTTGATGAAGACAGTTTGGGAAAACCTTAATTTGTTGCCACGCCAGACACAAAATACTGCTCTCTGCTGAGGGCTGTGTCTCTATAATTATTTTTCTTTTAAAGAGCTTTTATTTTAAATGCAATATTTAAGCCACATAGAAGAATATAATGCAAACATGCAAAAAATTCTCATATATTGAGTTTTAAGAAGTAAGGCCTTGCCAACACAGTTTGAACTAGGAATGGAGGGAACTATTATGTCATCATTATCTTCTCTTTGTTCTTTTCTGTTTCTAAATATCAGAGAATTAACAATAATTATTTGGGAAAAACTAATAAGATTATATATGACTTAAAGTGTCAAAAATTCATAAACAAAGTAGAAGAAAATATGTGTCTGATCTTGGATTGGAAAAGAACTCCCTAAGAATAAAAACAAAGGAAGAAAATAAAGTTGAAGATTGACTAACCAAAAATTAAAGCCTTGTAAATTTTTAAAACACCATATATTTGTAAAATACCATCTTTATATAGAGAGTTTTCAAAGAAATCATTAAGAAAAAGGAGATTGCCTCTTTCCAGTGTAAAAATTAGTGAGGAATATGCAGGTACTGCCATAAATACAAAGTGGCCAACCTGATTATTAAGCAAAGAAATTAAAATTAAATTAAAACTATAATGTTAAAATTATTTTTACCTGCCAAGCTGGTATAGGCTAAGAAATTTAGCGTTGGCAAGATGTAAAGAAATGGGTATTCTTGTATTCTGCTAATTAAACTCAAAATTAAATGTACCTGTTCTGAAGTAGTGTTTGCAATAAGTTTCATAGACCTGAAGTGATTAATTAAATGGAGGAGGTAGTTGAACAGATAGTTACAGTATTGTTTAAAATGTTGTTTACAGTAGATTCACAAATGTAATGGAGTAGCAAAGGAAAAGTATGGAGAATTCTGCCTGGAGACATCAAGAAAGGTGTCCAAAAAATGGAGTACCAGTAATTTTCCAGGAAAAGACACTTCCAGGCAAGAGGTGACATGCAGAGGGTCTAGGCTGTCGGAATTGTGTGTGTGTTCGCAGTGCCTGACTGGGTTAGGGAGACTGGAGTGGGGGAGGGCGACACCGGGAGAAAGCACTGAGCCGGCTTGGAAGGGACCGTATACGCTGTGCCGTAGGAGTTTTTATTTTGTTCTTCAGATTGAAGTCTTTCCATAACAGATGGGTACGTTTATCCTCGATGAGATCCTGGTCTAAAGAACTGACAGCAGAAGAAGCCAAGTTACAGAAAGATTTCTTAAGTTAAAATAACAAGAAGTAGAAGACTGGACGGGGGTGAAGGCGAGGTTTTAAGGGAAGTCTTGTCCTGCACAGCTCTAAGAACTTAGTGATTAGACTTAAAATTTGAAAGGTACACACTTCAAGGGTTTTGGAAGGAATGGAAATGCAGATTTTTCATGAAGTGTACTGAAATCGGGGCTTGAACACTCAGGAAGACCTACTTATCTCAATCTTCTGGGCAGGAGAGTTGAAGACAACCATAGCTAAAAGTTACTTTATGTGTAAGCCTATAAAAATGATGGTATACTAGGTTGTGATACATATTAAGTGAATAAATAATTATATCTGAGTTTATATGGTTTCTCAAATAATTGCTCTGCATTTAGCACATTTTGGAATAATTTGTGTTGATTTACTTTTTTAAATATCTTATTTATTTATTTTTAGAGAGAGGGGAAGGGAAGGGAGAGAAAGATCAATGTGTGGTTGCCTCTCAAGTGTCCCCTACAAGGACCTGGCTTGCAGCCCAGGCATGTGCTTTGACTGGGAATCGAATCGGCGACCCTTTGCTTCACAGGCCTGTGCTCAATCCACTGAGCTACACCAGCTGGGGCCTGTGTTGGTTTACTTTTAAATTAGGCTGATCATCCATCAACCTAGCCTGTCAGTGATTTTCAGAGTCAACTATCTGCATCAGAATTTTCTCAGGGTTTTTATTTAAACTGCAGCCCTGGCTGGTGTGGTTCAGTGGATTGAGTGCTGGCCTGCGGACCAAAGGGTTGCCAGTTTGATTCCCACTCCAGGGCACATGCCTGGGTTGTGGGCCAGTAGGGGGCACTCAAGAGGCAACCACACATTGATGTTTCTCTCCCTCTCTTTTTCCTTCCCTTCCTCTCTCTCTAAAAATAAGTAAATACAATCTTAAAAAAAATAAATTGCAAATATTTGCTCTTCAGCCCAATTATATCAGAATCTCTTGGGATGTGTCCTGGGAGTATACATTATAAATAGCGGCAGGAAAATCTTTTACACTAAAATTTAAGAACCAGTGGCAGTGATCACAGATGAGACTTTAGGGGCTACATGAGTTCCTTGGCATAGTTGATTCATGAACAGCACAGTTATTAAACCTTGAAAAAGTTACTTATGTTTTTTAAAATAAAGATGATTGCAGTGTTAGATTATGGGATTGGATTGGAAAGAAAAGACTATATATACTACTGCTCTAAGTCCATTTTATTCAGCCAGGATGACTTGCTAGTGCTGCTTATCCACCTGGTTTTCCCTTGTTCCTAGTTTTCCATGTAATGAATGCATAACCGTGGGTGACCCATTGAGCAAATAGGGCCTGCCAGAGTGGAGAAAACTATGTTAATCATTTCCCTTGTACTCTAGGGCATGTGGTACTGTTCTAGAGAGTGTGAGTGGACACTCTGGGCACTTCTGTGAGGGGAGTGGTGGCAGGTGGTAAGCTCTCATAGGTCTCAGTCGAGCTGGACGTCAGGATGGTTGCATCTTCAAAGGGACTGGTGGAGAGGAGATTGTGTCTTACCCCAAATACTGTCTTTGTCTTCAGTTCTCGAGTATTCTGGGAAGTGTACCTGGCCATCATGAGCATATGCATTTATATAAAAAGAGAAGATTTTCCTGTGTATTTCCATCTTAATCATGGTATTATTGACAGAAAGTTCACATGCTTATAGCACAAAGTGTGGTTTTGAGATTGTAGCATATTAAACTGCCATTTCTAAAGAGTGTTACAGTATAAACTTGCAAACCTCCTATTACAGATTGCTTGATTTGGCATTTAAAGACTGGAATTGGTCATTTGATGATGTTGATGGTGGTGGTGATGATGATGATGATGATGATGATGACGTTTTTGGTTTCTGAAGAAATAAATGGGGTAAATGGAAAAGTGAAAAATGAGTTATTTTAGTACTTCCAAGTAGCGCATGTGGTTTGCACTTGGGATTCATTATTTTTGACTAGTTTTGAAATTTTACTAAGTTGTTTTTAGTAGTATGTATTTGCAAAATAGTTTTCAGAAGTTTCTAACTGAAATTTTTGCTAAGTATAAAAGTGAAATGCTATGTTCAGATTCTTTATTGGCTATATATTTTTCAATACAATTGGAATTATATAATTTTTTATCTCAGGAATGAAACATGTAGAAATAACGAAAGGAGCTAATTGTGGTATTCTCTGTTTGTTCCAAAGAAACCATATTCAGAGAAGTAAAATTTACACTGTTTTCAAGTCCCTACAACTGTTAGTTTGTGAACATAGCATGGGATCCCTTCTCCCTCCCTCCTACTCTCCTCCCTTTCCTGCCTCCCTCCTCTTTGCTTCTTTCTAACTTGCAAGTGTTGAAACCATCCAAACTTTGTGAAGTTTAGTAAGTGCTGTGGAATAGTTGTTTCTGTTCTGGTTTTCTTTGTGATGCTGTGAAATGTTTGCTTTTTGGAAATTTAATGTTTCTCTTGTCGAAGAGTGCCAATGATATGCTGTGAAAACTCTTGTGCTTTTAGAAAATGTAAAATAATTTGGTTAATAGTGGCTGAAGTAGATTTCATGAAAATTGAGCCTTATAAGTTAAACTTTTTGCATGGAATGGATTTAAACTAAGGCCTGTCTTAACCTAAGTAAGCACATTGCAAAACATACTTGAGTTATGTAATACTGGGGATCTGTTTATAACCAGGATATACAGAGTATTTTTCATATATTTACTATAACAACATGTATGTTCCCATGAACATTCCTTAAATTTGACTCCTTAAAATTCCTTAAAGGAATCAAATTCCTTAAAATTAGATAGATTTTAAGGGGCAAACAGTTGAGTAGAATGTGCTCCTTAAGTCTGCTGTTCTGTCAGCTACATGAGGCAGCTGGCAGTTAAACTCCAAGTCGAACTTCGGTTCATGTGAGCTACTTTGGTGACATGGTGTCTAACCCTGACAGTTAGTTACCAGGGTTAAAATTGTGTGCTATGTTTGTAGCCAGTATGGGAAAATGTGAGAAAATACAATTGCATGTGCCTAGAAATTAGAAAAGGAACACAGTAAACATGCTTTGTGCACGATTTAGATGTTAAAGTATAGTAACTAGAAGACTGTAGAGTTTAAGAGTGAACTTGGGATGCCTTTTCAAAGAACTTAACAGTCTCTTAAATTATTGCACTATCTGGGCTAACTTTATTTTTCCTTTCTTTGCAGCTAACTGCCTTCTATGAATGCAGTCATTATTCGAGGTGATCATATTCTTCCAGTTAAAACAAGACTGAAATATGATGGCCCAAAATTTATGAAAAAGCTATATTTTCCTGAGAGACTGATATATATATATACATATGCATATACATATATATTCCCTTTATTCCTGCAATATACATTGTAAATCTCGGAGAGTTTTTGGGGGCTTCTTTGGAGCATCAGATTGAACCAATAGTGATTGGTTGGTGGAGTAAGAGTATCATACGCAACTCTTCCAAACTTGTTCCATTAGGCTCTCTTGACACTCACACTACATTGCACAAAAGGATTGAGAAGAGTTAAAGAAATCATTTTTTCAGCTCCAGCAGAGAGATTTCACCAGCGTATTTACCAGAAGAATCTGGGAATGGATTTCACTACAGAGATACAGACTGCATCAGTAAGAAGTGACCATTATACTGTGTGTGTATGTGTGTGTACATATGTGTACACACACGCACATAAAGAGAGTACTGTGATACCGTGAGAGGGTTTTGTAAACATCCCACTTTATTTTTTTATACACATTGATCAGATGTCATTACTTAACTGCAGTTGCAACTATGCACTTGTACGAAGCCATACTGTTGGGTTTTCCATCACTCATCTGCGTGCACCTGTCGGAGCTGCATGTTCATGTTACTGTAACAGAAACTTGGAGCTTAATTCTGTCAGTCTCCTAATGCTTCAGGATAGGCAACTTTATCCATTTTGAATGCCTTAATTTAATTTTTTCAGTCTTAGCCCTTTTCTGTATTACAAAAAAAACAAGTGTTTACCAGCTTGTAGGATGCAAATTTGCTTTGCAGAAGACACTAGTGCACTATTTTTACACATAACAGTCATCAGCGTCAGCCTACTTTGATTGTATAACAGAGTTTTTAAAAAATATTGGTGATAGGAACAGTAATGGATAGTATTAGAACTAATATATCTCTTATGTATTTCTATTATTCATTCAGCCCTTTTTACAGATCTCAGTGTTAGCGGGTGACTCTGAAATGCTTGGAATTTGCTGACTACCCTAGATGTGTTTTTATTTCTGGTAATAACATTCGTGACTATTTTTACATTTCACACTCAACTTTCAAAATTTATCTCAAATGTAAAGAAAGCTAAAACATACTCTAGATATATTTTAAATATTTAAATGTGATCCCTTAAACACACAATTGTGTATGGCAATATATTGGTATTGGGTTATGAAAACTGGTGATTGGAAAGAAGTGGCCTCAAAGGCCACTTGCTTTTTATTTTTTAAATGCTGTTACAGTTATGCAGGACCATTCCCGCTGTGTTTCTCACCATCCCACAGAAGTGCATGTCTTGTACTGAGACAGTGCGCGTCAGTGATAAGCATCAGGTAAAAAATTATGTAGCCTTCTATCAGTCTTTGTGTACGCGCAACACATGCACAGTTTGGTGTGATACCGAAATACATCATTTAATATTTCAATGAAGGAACGCGGACATTTCTCACGGATTCCCTTTGAGGTCAGTGTGGAGATATTTAAAGAGTTAGGTCCCCAGTTACACATACTGTTGTGGAAACTGAAGAATGGCCTTTGGTTTACCGGTGTCCAGAAACTGAGTCTTCTTCCTCTCCCGCCCGGTCTGCGTGCGCGTGCACGTGCGCTGTCTGTGCTGGATGTGGACGTGCACGCCGCAGGTGGCGCCCTGGCAGGCGTGTTCTGCAGTTCTGGTTTGGGGGCACAGATTTTTTTTTTAAAGTAAGATTTAAAAATGAAAAGTATATAAAATTTATATAGAATAAATATTTCCATTCATTAGACTTGTTAAAAGGAGACTGAATTAATATTTTATATAAAGATTTTGTTACACTATGGGAGGTTCTATCATTATTCTGAATTGGAGAGTATATATATATTTTTAATAAACTTTATTAAGGTGAAATAATTTGAAGTTTACACATGAGTAATTGAAATATTTGAGTAAAAATGACAAACGTTTAAAATTTTGAATGCTGTATATATCAGAGAATATGGAGAATCATGGTGTGATGCAACTACACATGGAATATTGAAGTGACGCGGGGAGGGGAGGTGTGCTAAGGGGTGGGGAAAATCTCTCCCATGGAGATTCTTCACATTATATGGTTTGACATAAGGATTTATAAGATTGTTTGTCCAACTAATGGAAATGTGCTTAATAAAGATTCTGATCTCGGGTAAGAATGTGCTTTTTACCCTGTTGCTGGTTTCGCGCACGTACACGCATGATGCGTGCACCTACCCAGTGTCCCCTTCCCGGCACTCATTAAATGTGACATGACTTGGATTAACAACCAGTTTGTGCTAGCTCGTTTTTCTTGAGGCCCCAAAGCTCCCGAGGTAGATACAGGTCTAAAAGTTGCGTATTTCCTCACACCTGATTTCTCCTGCAGCCTTAAATACCTCCTATTGAGAATTGAGAAGTAGTGAAAACTGGGGTTTTCTTAGTTGGATTTTTGTACTTTTGTGGGAATAGTGAGAAGTAGAAGGACACTTGTATTACTGTTGAAATTAATGTATAGTGAGTTTTTGAAAAGTATTAATTTTTTAAAAACGCTATCTAGAAGCAAGAATTTTTTAAAGATCTCTGAACTTTTAAAATGCTGTAGCTAAAGGCTAAGTACACCAATAAACTTAAACTCTAGGTTAGTGTCGTTTGAACTAACCTACGCTGGAGCTTCAGGAACCCGGCTCTGAGGATCGCCTCTGTGTCAGTTCGTCTGTAGACCCTGAAGGAGGAACGCTCTAGGTTGCCAAACCACAAAGTGTAAGAAATTATGCTGCTGTTAATCTGTTTCTAGAATTCTGGTGGTAAAATAGACACTATATATTACCTTGTTGAAACGTGCTTTGAGAAACATGTTTTTAAAACTCCGATGAGAGTAAGTCCCGTCTGTGTTGACACTCACTGCTACTGACCCCCCTGCCCTCCCTGGAACGAGGCTTCCGTGTCCCTCCGAGAAGCCGCCGAGGCTGAGTTGTAAAGCACTTTGACGGTCACACTGTGTGACAGTGCTGACTGTGATGCTGGGGTCCTCTCCTTGGTCCCCTTCCCCACAATGAGCTTTGTTTGAAATTGTAATAAGTTATGAACTGCATGGTTTAGATGATCATAAGTGTTTGATCAGCTGTCCCCTTTGAACAAAAATCGTATCTCCCTGATTTTTTTGACTCTTGCATCTTTGTAGTAATGTAATTGTATATTATGCCTGCTTTTTATAATAAATAAATAATTAAGACACAAGTATTTTCATACTTTTCCTGTGAAATATTCCTGGAATGCCAAAATTTACCCCCAAAGTTTGCCTTCTCTAGAAGACAGGTGTAAAAGAAGGGTTATACCCAAGTCATAGTGTAGGTTACAGACCCGTGAGTCTTTGACCCTCCACTTTGTGCAGGGGAAACACAGGTACAGAACTTCCACCAGCAGTCTGTCTCGGATTTGATGGTGGTGGGTCAGGGGCAGGCACCCTCCCACTACCGCCGGAAAGACGCGAGGCGCCTGTACTGTCGGTGCCGACAGGTGGTTTTCTAGAAAGCATTTCTTTGGTAATCAATGGATTCTTTCCTAGGATATGTAATGGTTATCTGAGGACAGGTTATTCACAGAGCGTGAGAGCCTTCATCTGTAACCAGGAGGTTGTTTACTTACAGGGAGGTTGTAGGGTTAAAGAGGAAAATTGTGTGGAGTACCTGGAATAGCTCAAATGTTTGTTCCCTTCCTTCCCAAAGGGAAGAAATGGAGGACTCTTCATGTAAGATAGCATATTCTTAAAGGAATTGCTTTAACGGTGAGTACTGGCGTCTCTTCGCTGCTGGGTGGTGGCACACTCCAGTGTTAGGTCCCACAGCACCTGGGGGCTGCGGGGCTGTGGCCAAGTACACGCTCCGAGCACTGACGTCACAGGCAGAGGCAGGGGGCCAGCGTCTGGGCCCTCAGCTGCTCCCCATCTCCTTTGCGCCAGCGCCGCCGCAGCCCCGTGCCTCCAGCAGAGCGACATCAGGGTAGACTGGACCTGCCCTCCCAATTCCCGGCCCTCCCTACAATCCAGCGGGAAGCAGCGAACAGAAGTTGCGCCTTCTGTCCAAAGCATCCCGAGTCTTGGTGCAGTGTCCGGGGTCACTGCTGCAGGCGGAGGGCGAGGCCGTGACAGACCCCCGGCCACAGGGCTTCTGCTCAAGAATGGCACTTGGGAGACCCGGACAGCGGGAGCACAGCCCCCAAGGCCTTTCTGGAAGCAAAGAGGCACAGGGGCGGGGCCTTCTGGGACCCGAGGGCTCGATCAGTCCCAGCTAGGAGAGCACTGGGCAGAGGTGGTGGCAGCTTCCCGAAGGGGCAGTCTCCTGCCCCGGCTACAGGGCTTGGGGTGGCGACCACAGCTGCAAGTTTCTCCTTGGAAATGCTAAGGAGAATCTGCTTCCTCATCCTTCTGGTGGGATGGGCTGGGCGGGGCGGCCGGGGGCGGGCAGAAAGGGGACCTGCTGGTGCGGACGAGGGAGGGGAAGCCTAGACCCTTAGAGTCTGGGGGGCGGGCTGGGCCTCAGGGGGCGGGACCACCCCGGCAGGGGGCGGGGCGAGGGCGGAGCCTGCGGGGCGGGGCGCGGACCCAGGCTGTGCGGAACTGGAGAAGGGCGGACCCCAACTAGGGCGGTGGCTGGCTTCAGGGGAAGGCGGAAAGACTGGAAGAACCTTGCGGCCGAGTGTTGAGCTGTTGCCTGTCTCGCTGCTCCCGGGTCCACGGAGCCCCACGCCCCACGAGACGCGGGCGCCATGGCCCTGGGGCTGCTTGAGCTCTGCAACTGGAGCACGCTGGCGGCGTGCACGGCGCTCAAGCTGCCACAGATCTCCGCCCTGCTGGCAGCGCGTAGTGCGCGGGGCCTCAGCCTCCCAAGTTTGCTTCTGGAGCTGGCCGGGTAAGGGCCCTGGTGGCCGGGGTGCCCTTCTTCCCTCGCCTCTGACTTCCGGGGGTCCGGAGAGCCGCGGGCGTAATTAAGTAGGGGCGGTGGGAGCGGGGCCGGGACCCTCTAACTCTGGGGAGGGCCCTTCCCGGGGCCACTCATGGCCCCTCGTGCTTTCCTGCCCACCAACTGGAGTGGTCAGGCATTGACCGCACACGCCCACTTAGCAGAGGAGGAAACAAAACACCTTGTGAGTTGTTGCTCCCCGGTGAGTGGCAAAACCAACCGCCTGGCTCCTATCCAGGCTGCTTGCCCCTGGAAACTCATACAGTCAGCTGTTGCATAACGACGTTTGGGTCAACAGTGGGCCGCCTATCCCATGGTGGTCCCATAAGGTTAAAATGCAGCTGAAATGCTTATGACGCCCAGTGGCCTCTTAGCCATGGTAATGCCATAGGGCCCCGCACCGCTCACTGGTGTGAGGTGATGCTGGTGTGAGCAAACCTACTGTACTGCCTGCCACTCGTGTAGAAGTACGGCAGGTACAATCAGAGCCGTGGGCCGGCACCGGCTCAGCCTGTCTCAGGGCGCACGCATCACAGAGCACCCTCCGATGGTCACAGGAGGAGGGAATGGCCCAAGGATGCGTTTCTCAGAGAACCCCTCTCCTCAAGAGGGGTGTGACTATCCATTCCCAAACCCACCCCCACCTTCACTCCCTATCTCAGACCTCAGTTTCCTCACCTGTCAAATACAGGGCTGGACTTTTCCAAGGCTTTTTAAAGCCTTGTAGCTTTTTAAAACTGCATGTCGTGGGGTGGGGCGGAGGGGGGGGCGGATTGGGAGAGTGGAGAGAGCTCTTTGGAGGCATCGAGTGGAGAAGGGGCACTTGATTCCGTTTGTGAAAGGTGGGCGGAGTCCAACAGAGGCTGCTCCTAGAGATGGTTCATCCCGTCACAAATCCAGGGGTGAGGGCCCTGGCTGGTATTTAAAGATCCAAATGCAAATTTACGGCGGTAAAACTAGGTTGGGAAAACTTGAGTTAGTGGAAAAAACTGGCATATGAAACCCAGTGAGTGGTCAAGCACCTCGTCCTGGCTGGGCCAGGTCCTTCCCACTTCTCTCTTGCCAGCCCCAGCCCCCAACCTAGCATATCCCGTTCCCCCCTACCCTCCCCCCCCACCCCGGGGTCTGACAGGCATTGCAGGCTGGAAAGGAGGGAGGCGGAGGAGACCTGGTGGTGGGTGGGATGAGGGGCCCAGGCCCCGAGGGGACCTGCTCTGGGCTCCCACCCAGTGAGAGGCTTTGTCTGGAAAAGCTTGGCCGAGGGGAGGATGTGTGGCCCCTCGCAGGTTTGCAAGTGACTCTACCACATGGGACCCCGGGCTGGATGGCTGGGACTGAAGAGTAGAGAGGGGTCCTGGAGGACAGGGACACCGGCTCAAAGTGGCCCTCGTGTTTGGTCAGGTGAGGGGGACGGTGAGGAGACGGAGGGCATGTGCCGGAGGGCGGAAAGCCAGGGAGAAGGGCCCCAGTCCCCAGGAGGGTCCCTGAGCAGGGGGAGATGAGGCTGGCCCCGGTGGCGTGTAGGGGAGACTGATGTGCCTACAGAGCCAGGAGCCTGCCCACACCTCGCCACTCCGTCCCCAAGACCCAAGGGGTGAGGGCTCAACCTTCACCCAGCCCGTCACCTGTCTCACTGTATCTGACAGCATGTCTGAAGGTGCTGTCAGATACCTTTACCTGAAGGTATCTGACAGTACCTTCACCAAACCCAGCCTTCTGGCAGTGGGATGCGGCTCCCCTGGACGAGTGGCTTGTCCTAGGGTCCTGCAGTGGGCAGCTTGCACTTGGAGGCTGGGGGCCTGCAGAGTGACACTAGTGAGAGGACTAGGCACAGAGGGGACCCCCAGAGCTGGCCAGGGTCGGGGGTGCTTGGGGGTCAGGGAGGGGCCCGAGCAGGCTGCCGTCATTTCTGCTCTCACTGGGGCAGCTCCTCCGGGCAGCTTCGGGGGCAGGGAGCTGGGGTTTGTCTCCTAACCCTGGTCAGCGGATTGCTCTCTGCAGAAATCGTTCGTAAGTGACTCTCCTAAGGAACTTGACAGAGACTGTGTAGATTACGCCCACAGCCCAGCCAGTACTGGATGCTCCCAAAATCGTGGCGTTTGTTAGACTAACGTTCCATCCTTTTCTCAGTCTCCCTCCTTGACTTGTCAGGTTGTGCCAACCAGCCTGTGCTCCTGGGTTCAGGTGTGCCCTCCCTCTCCCCAGGTTCCTGGTGTTTCTCCGATACCAGTGTTACTATGAGTACCCGCTGCTGACCTACCTGGAGTACCCCATCCTCATCGCACAAGGTAACCGAGCCCTCCGTGCCCAGTGCGGCCCCGGGCCCCTCCCCCCTCTCACCAGAACCTTCTCCTTCCAGATGTCATCCTCCTGCTCTGCGTGTTCCACTTCAACGGGAGCGTGTACCGGGTGGCGCCCTACCTCGCCCTGTATCCTTCTGGCCTCGGGGAGTCAGGGACGGGCCCCGGGGTGCTGCCCGCTAATAGTACGCATTAGTCAGCGGGGCCCTTTACTGGAGACATGCCTTTTTGGTTAAACCCGAAAGAATCCACCCTGGCTGGTGTGGCTCAGTGGCTTGAGTGCCAGCCTGTGAGCCAAAGGGTTGCTGGTTCTATTCCCAGTCAGGGCACACGCCCGGGTTACGGGCCAGGTCCACAGTAGGGAGCACACAGGGGGCAATCACCCACTGATGCTTCTCTCCTTCTCTTTCCCTCCCTCTAAAAATTAATAAGTAAAATCTTTAAAAAGAAAACAGTATACATTATTCAGCAGGGCCCTTTACCAGATACGTGGCTTTTGGGTTAAACTCAAAAGAATCCCAAATGCAAGACTCCATGTGAGCGAATATGTCTCCACAACCCAGAGATGCTGCTAATCTAGCCACCCTACAAAAAGGACATCTCTGGGATCTTAGTGGCTGCTACTGGTGGTCAAGTGTCAGAAACTGTCAGGAATGAATGGAATGAGGTGCAATGGCAAGGTATTAGACAAAAAAAAATACCACAAAAGTTAATTTAAAAAGTTAAATTAGAGACTTTTTAAAACCAAATCGCATCTACCCAGCTCCAGGCTGCCTTTTTGGTGTTGACCTGTTTGCTAGTAGTTAGTCTACTGACTCTTAGCACAGAGCACTGTCTATTCCAGTCCCTTCATTTAAATAATGCTCCTAATTATAATTGCAGCCACCAGTTGGGTCCCTGCAAGTGAGCCCCAAGGCACTGAGTAGGAAGACAGGGCAAGGAGTGTTAAGTCCATTTTGCAGATAAGCAAACCAAGGTCTAGAGAGAAATGAACTCGCCCAGGGTCCCAGCAGAGGTCATGGGCAGCCCCTCACTGCCTGGCCACTCCCACTCCTGTGTCTGCTGCTGCGTCTGGCCGTGCTGTGTGTGCACTTCAGCATCCCTGAGCCGGGTGGCAGGCAGACATCCCTCCTCCCAAGTGCCCGCTCCTCAGTCTGCACCGCAGCACTTCCACGTTGGAGTTAGTGAAAAGGGGGCAACCTGTCAGTACAGGGTTTCACGGGCCACCCGTTTTGCAGGAGATGCCCACTTTATAAAGTCAGCCCCTCTTGTCAGCGCTTAATGTGACATGGCGTGGGTGACTTCCTCGCAGGTGGGGACGAAGCCAGAAGTTAAAATCATCTGGATGTCCCCACCCCCAGGATCAGTGCACCACCTCGGAGTTCTCTGTACTTTCCTTCCCTGATCTGCTTCTGGTCCTTGGACTCCTAGTGCTTGACACTGGTTTTGTCTTTTCCGACTCTGACAAGGTCCTGCAGAGCCGCCCCCCCCCCAACTTGGCAACTCCACACTTGTAGGTGGAGCCTTTTGGGCGCGGGGCGCGGGCTGGTGGAGCCGCCAGCTCAGCCACTTCCTTAACGCTCGGTAAGATTCGTGGCGTCGTGGTTCGTCCTCACCCTGCAGAAGTGGATCATAGACCTGGCCATGGTGAGTCCCGGCCGTGAAATAGCAGGCTGTCACTCTGTCCCCTCCCTGCTGCCCGCCCTGCAAAGAACTCGATAGAGCCAGTGTTCACCTGCTCGGTTTGCGCTGTGCCAAAGGACCGTGTGGAGAAGTGCAGTGTTCTCAAACAGTAAAAGACGTTCTTCTTACTTCACTGTATGGAAAGTTTTTTGACTTTCGTTTTTGGGGTTTAGAGAACCAGACTGGGGAGGCACTTTGCAGCAGTACAATGAAGAACTGAGTGTAAGATAAAGAGCTTCCTGTCTGTGTAATAATTACATATTGGCCACATACTCATTATTTTGTTAAATTTGTTCTCCCCCTCCCCCCATCTTCCATCCTCTTTGGAAGAGGGGACTCCCTGTGCTTTTTTTCCTTCCTGGGTAAGGGCCAACCACCACCACCACCACCCCCCCCCCCCAGAACAGGATTCTGAGGGTGGGTCAGGAAGCAGTTCGCCACAGACCTCTCTCCCAGGCCGCAGAAGCCAGCGCTTCCTCCCAGCAGGAAGGGGCGGAGCCAGCTGACTGGTGGTCACAAGTCACTGCCCGCCACACCCAGCTCACGAATTTCTCTCCCAACACCTTGTCTGTGACCTGTTCTGGGAAGGTGGACTTTACTGTGTTGGGTTTCAACCTAGCGACACAGCAAATAAGTAGGGATGCTGGTTTGCAATGAATACTTTTTTAGTATAATTATGTCCCAAATATAGTATGGGACATACTTATGTTAAAAAATCATTTGTTGCTGACCTGAGAGTCTAATTTGACTGGGTGCCTGGTATTTTTATTTATTAAGTCTGGCCACCCCCCAAAAAAGGCTTCCAGGGTCTCAGGAGCTGCTCCTCCAGGCCGTGCGGCCGTGGCTCTGCACTCTGGGCCCATACAGACCCGGCAGGACTGGGTTCAGAGGTCACAGGGTTTTTTTTTGTTTCTTCTGTGCCCTGAGTTCTCGGTGAACGAACTTGGCTCCCTAATAGTTCATAAAGTAGTTTCCTTTTCCCCTCGTTGAGTGCTGTTGTGGTCCCCGCTGGCTTCCCGGCGCCTACTCCGTGGCAGACACGGGGTGCTGGGGACGAGATGTTGGCTTGAAGGTGGTGGAGCCACAGAGATGAGGAAAAGGCCAGGAAGTCAGAGCTGACACAGTGACTTTAAGAGCCTGTCGGCTCAAAGCAGCATGGCCTCCCAGTCCCGAAGCACAACACCGGATACAGACACACAGGACTTCCTCTGATTGGCAGGTGGGGGTGGATGCGCCCGGGGGGCCAGGCCTGACTCCCCCCTCCCTCCCGTCTGCACACCCGCTCCAGGCCCCGGTTACTCACTGGGGTGGAGTTGGCAAGTTCTACACCAATGTCTCACCGCCGCATTCTTTTCCACTAAACTGGGTTTTGCCCTTGTACAAGTTGGTCCTTAGTTGGCCTGGAACTTCAGCTTCAAAAGCGCTTTCCGACTCCAGTGCTCTTTTTTTTTTTTTTTAAATGAAGGGACTCCTAACTTTCTCTCTGCAAACAGAGAATGTTTTCCTAACTTTTATCTGCAAACAGAATTTCTGCACTTTGATCAGCGCGGCCAGTAAGTTCGCCCAGCTGCAGTGTCTGTGGAAGAGCCGTGACTCCGGGGCGGTGAGCACCCTGACCTGGGTCCTCGCTTCCTACACCTGTGCCAGTGAGAACTGAACTCCACAGAGGGGTGGGGGGCCCTTCCCAGCATCCACCCAGCAGAGCAAGGTCCCTGGGGCAGGCGTAGGCGGGGGGGGGGGGGCGGGGGGGGGGGGGCGGTCAGTCCAAGCTCTAGTCCTTTGCAGGTAGCTGTTCAGACAGACCCCCTCAGGGAGCCCACAGGCGCAAGGCTGATTTAACGCCGACTGCTCTCCATTTTCTGCCATAGCCCATCATCCAGGCACTGAAACTAAGCGAAAGCACACCTTTCACCCCAAATCGAGCATCATTTTGAGTCCTCCCTCTGTTCTTTGAAAAGCATCAAGAGCATGATCGTATTGAATGCACCGCCTTGTTTTAAAATGTTGAATCTTTATGATGTGGCACAGCCCCCACCCCGCTCCCCTGGGTGGCACCCAGTGGCCCTGCCGGAAGGGCAGCTGTTGGGTCAGCAGCTTCAGGGCTGCTGGCCGGAAAGCAGGGCTGGCTCCGGTGCGTTTTATGAAGTCTGGTGCTACTCGGTGTTCCCTACCACCAAATCTTTCAAGAATGGTTAGCATACATCCCTGTATTTAAAATGGGAGGACATAGCTAAACACCAAAATGTCTGAGAAGCGAGTTGCTACTTATGGCTTAATATTTTCTTTTACAGCAAGAATAATAACGACCTTGATGACCACCAATGATCTCACAAGTAAGCCCAACGTTTTCCTGCCCATTTTTGGTGTGGGGCCGGTTTTTGCCTCCTTCACTTGTAAGCGCCTTAGGGCTTAACGGATAGAGTCACTTGGCGCCACCCAGAGGCCAGTCCCGGTATAGTCCTGCTCTCCGGCAGCGTGGTTCCTGCTGAGAACTCGCACACCCTGGTCGCCCGCTGTCTCCGTGGACATGGAGCCCTCCGGAATGCAAATGCACGGTTGTCCCACCATGCATTACTGGAAACTAGTGTGAAATGCGCTTTGAAAGAACAGGACGGGGTGGGCACACAGCCAAGCGTGTGCGTTGTCCGCGCTAGAGAGAGTGCCCAGAGGGCTGGAGGGGCTCAGCAGGGCCGAGGAAGGAGGAGCCGGCCACGTGGCCCAGAGCCTCGGAGAACTGCCTGCCAGCGCCAATGGACTGGCCTTTTAAAGCACAGGGGTGACAGACTCATTTGACTGTGTCCTAGCTTTTTTTTTTTTTTTAAGGGATACTGTGATGGAGAAGATACTTGGGTTACCCTGAAAAGATGAGTAATTCCTTAGGCTGAGTTTTAACTCCCATAAAAAGATTCTGGGAAAGGATTAGAACAGGTGGGGTCACCCAGTCTGTGAAACAGGCCCCTGGCACACAGACCCCTTCGAGGTGAGCGAGCTCCTGGTTATTCGAGGGGCGTGGCCACAGAGCAGCAGGAGCACCCCAATTCCTTAGTGAGGTTGAAGCTTTGGCTCCCCTGAAGTCCCTCAGCTCAGAGAGGGGTAAAGGTGCTGGGGTCAAAGGTCAACCTGGGTCAAGTGAAAGGACACAGGCCTTTGCCCCAGGACCTGAATTCTTGGCATGGAAAGAAGAGTCAGACATACTGAAACCAGACTGACCCACAGACCGGAAACTAAGCTTTGAGGATGGAGAATGTGTGTGTTGTGACTTGTTTTGTGTCTAAGGTGACCGTGGTTCCTGCAGGTGATGGGTGGGTCGGGAGATGGCCTTTTGAAACAGCCTGGCTGGCGCAGGGGGTGCCTTTCACATCACACACCTTCTCCATCAGGGAAGCGCTCCCCGAGTCCCCATCACTTCTCTGAAAGAGCCGCATTTTCAGGGTCAGCTCAGTGTGAACTACGCTTTGACATTTGCTCCCGTTTTCAGAATGATCTTAGCAGAATGCTCTCTACGCCTTTGGTGGGGTGTTCTGACACACCACTCACTGCCCTGAAAATGAGCAGAGTGGCTTTAAAAAGCCACAGCGCCAGCCGCAGCCAGATCCCTCCAACTGAAATGTTGGCAAAGATAAATTATTACTCACGAAGTCAGGCCAGGTGGCCAATGGCAGTCATGATAGGAGCAAGATCATGTCTCCAGAAATACCTGGAACCATAGTTGGAACTAAAGTTGCTCAAGTTCATTGTTGGGGGGTGGGGGGTGAAGCCTATTGAGCTCCCTGGAGCAGAAGGACTTTGTTCACGTGAAAACCTCATTTAATGTGCACTTTTTCTCTTTGTGACGGCTTTCAGTCCTCACACGTTTCGTGGTCATGCTGGCATTGAACCTGTGGGTGACAGCGACAGTGCTTCGCTACAGGAGGCCGGTCACCAAGGCTGAGTGATGGGGACGAGATTCTCACGCCCAAAGCGAAGGTCGAATAACCGAACCGAAGGAAAGGACACCTCATTGCTAAGTCAAGTCTTTTAAAAACCTAGTCGGTCATTTCAGAGCCTTCGAAGCCCAAGGTATTTAGACCTGAGCGGTTCAAACTCTTGTGTGAACGGCTTTCGCACCCGCCCACCCCTTCAGACACGATTGATGCAGATTGTCCAAGAACTCAGTCTGAAATCGCTTTGACCCATAGAAGTCACGGTCAAGTTCTCTCCAAAGAGCTAAGTACGTCTGCTTTTCAGCTTTCAGAATCTTTTAAGAAATAAGCCTCTCCCCAGCACAGATGAGCCTGGAGTGGGATTTGGGTCGGTCAGAAGTGGAATTGTAATAAATGACGAGGGTTCGCCTGCGGGGACTAAGGTCTGATTGGAACGCAGGTGTGAGAGGGTGGCCTTATTGTATCGAATCCAGTATAACAGCTCCTTCTCGTGTGTACCAGGGCAAGTGAGCATGCACCTGGCTTGAGCTCGTGCACCGAAGCGGTCCTTTCTCTTCCTCCTGTGCCTCCCAGCAATTCCTGAGGATGCCCTGTGGGGAAGCAAGTCAAATGCTGACGCAGGCGCAGTGCTGACGTTTTAAAAGGGCCACAGCCTCACAAGGAACCATGATTAGAACTCAGTGTAAAATAGAGCTCACCTCGACCAGGTTTTGTGTGTTGAAAATACATGCAGTGAAGGCTCTTTCTGGGTTCCGCCAAGTTCCTCTGGCTTTTATTTTCATTTAGGTAGCGTGTTCGAAACATGACAAGATTATTGTACGCTGGGTTTTTCTATAAAAGTTTATAAACCCTAACTTTTAAAAGCTCTCTTTCCCCTTACAGTTGAAGGGCGTTATTCTAGTGTGTAGCTCTGCAGTTTGTAAATGGTATTTGTTAGATGTTTTGGGTGCCTTTGTAAAATAAACTCGTATTTTGAACTCTTGAGTCTTAAAACTGTTTTAATGTGATTAGTTTTTAGCTACGTAAAGTACCATTTAAAAAATATAAGTCAGCTAATCCTAGACTCCTGCTGGGAACCTGCAGGGAAACATAGTGTCTAAAAAGTAAAGAAATCGTTCAATCGGGGCTCTGTCTGTCCCGGGGGTGGCCAGGACCTGGGCCCCAGGACCAGCTGCCCTCCCTGTTTGTTCGGGGACCTCGGGGTGGTGGAGCCCTCCTCCTCCTCTGTGGAACAAGCACTGACCCCTGACGGGTCAAGGACAGCAGCTGCCTGGCGGGGTCAGCGGGCAGAGGCGGGGCCACAGGAGGTGGGTTGCTGCCTGGCCCTGAGCTGCTCCCTGCGCTGGCTGCTCTGTGGGACTCGGGTGTCAGGCCACCTCCACTGCCTTTGTGGCATCAACCCTGACAGGCCTTTCAGCCTTGGGCCATCCCTTACCTTCCTAGGCCTCCACCTTTTGAAATGCGGATGATTGTACTCCACCCCCTAACGTTACAGAGAGGTGCACAGTAGGTGTTCAGTAGGCGGGACTCCCTCCCAGGCAGAAACTGGCCAGGCCTCACTGGGATTCGTGGGCACCGGCTCTGCTCCCGATGCTGGTGGGGTGGGGGCAGGGCCCTCCAGGTGGAGCTGGGCGTGGGCCCTGTGGGAAGGTGCTCAGGTTCCAGTGCCACCAGCCCCACTGGACATCCTGTCACATGTGACCCGATGGCCCCGCTGTGTCCTCTGGAGGGTGAGGGGTGTCGGGATGGGTGTGTGAGAGTCTCTGTGTGTTTCAGCAGCGCACACCCACTGGCATGTCTCTCCGGCCTGTGACAAGGGTTGCCATCTGGAGGGACTCTTTGGGACGATGATAGGGCCACGGGGCGGGTCAGCCGCAGGCTCCCCTGACCCCACACCCACCGGGCGCAGCCCCGAGCCCGTCTTCTCCCCCTAGATGGGCTGCAGCTCGTCTTCCAGCTTCTTCTTCCGGACGCCCTCCACGAAGAAGAAGTCCAGGCCGATGAGGGTCTTCCCCAGGGGCGTGTCCAGCCTGCTGCCCACGGCCCGGTTCGTGGAATGGGGGACAGTGTCGGAGAAGAGAGGTATGTGCTCCGGCAGCGTCACGGGCTCCTTCTTATTGCCCTGAGGAGAGGGGACAGTTCATGTCACACGGGGAAAGCAATAAGACCCCGAGTCACCTGTGGTGGCCGTGCCACAGGTTCTGTGGTTGTTGTTGGTCTGTAAACAGACCTTTAATTAGCATTGTCATGGCAAAGAGTCACAGGAAGGGACGCTCGGGGCACAGCCCCCCTGAGCTGCAGGCGGATGAATCAGAGTGAAACTGGTCACTGCACACAAGGGCAGATCCCCTTGAACCCCCCCCAGAGCCCGGAAGAATTAAAGTCTCTCCACTGAGAAGAGCACCAGGTCTTGAGGGGCAGAGCGTGGCAAGACCGCTCGCCCGGGGGCGGGGCTGTGGGGGCCGTGGGGGAAGTTTTGGGTTTCAGTGAATTTTTATTTGAAGTTTCAGATACACAGAAAAGCGCGTTAAGTGGTAACTGTGCAGCCCCGCAGACTTGTGCAAAGTGAACACGCCTGTGCCCGCCCTGCCCCCCCTCAGGATACAGCAGGTCGTGAGTTGGATTCCCCGGGCAGAGCGCACGCCTGGATTGTGGGTCTGGTCCTCAGTCAGGGCGTGTGTGAGGGGCAACAGAAGGACTGGCCTTTCCGACATGACAGTTCTCTCCCCCCTCCCCCCCCCTAAAATCAATAAGCCTATCCTTAGGGGAGGATTTAAAAAAAAAGAACAGAGTGAACTGGTTGAGCCTGCTCAGGGTGGGGACATCCCCCGGGAGAGAAGGCACTCCAGTGGGGTTTTGGTGGGAAGGGCATTTCAGGCAGGGAACAGCATGCACAAAGGCATGGCTAAGAGAGTGCGGGGCTCAGTGTGGGGTGAGCAAGGGAGGCAGACCTGTTGAAGGATTTGAAGCCAAAGAGAGACACGGTCAGGTTTGCATTTAGGAAAATTACTCAACAAGGGGAGACCAGAGGTGGTGCTCTTTGAGGCAGGAATCCGTTTACCAAGCACTTTGCCCCGACTCATGCCGAGTGGGGCCCACCACACCTCGCCACTCACTGCTGACCGTCCCAACAGGAAAGATGAGCCCCGTTTCCAGTCGGCTCATCTTAATAAAATCAAGGAACTCTGGGAAAGATGAATTTCTAAGTGCTCCGTGTAAGCATTTTCTTCCGCACCAGACTCCGAATTTCTTGGAACAAGCCTGCGTTTGTTCTGGCCCTGTGCGTCCCTGCCCCCGGACCGCCCCGGCCCCTGGCCCAGGTTCAGTGAGTGAAGCGCGTTCCCAGCGCAACCACAGAGAATGGGGACGGACAGATGGAGGTGCAGTCTCACCATGGGGTCGTAGTCCCTCAGGAAACTCCAGTTCTGGGCCCTGGAACGGAAACGCGTTGGCAGCACCGGTCACTTAACCACCGTAGATCGTTTGATAGATCATTTTAATCGATTTTGCACCATTTAAGTGATTCCGAAGACTCGTAGTAACAAGAGTCTCCTCTGCCCCAGGCCTCACAGCCCCGGAGCTCCATGGTGCAAGTCCCTGTCTAGTGTTTTCTCTGTTTCTGCACTTGCTTCTGGCTGCCCCGACCCAGGAATGAGGCTCCGGGAGCCTGGTGCCCCTGCAGCCCAGCTGGGCAGCTCCCGGAGGAGTTGCTGGGTCCAGCGGCTACACGAAGGGACAGTCCTGCGTTAGCGGACCCCTGCCTGCTCTCCCTCCCGCTTTCTAGGCCCAAGTCGGGGAAGGCGGGGCTCCCCCCCCCCCAGGCTTCCTGCTCCTCGGCCAGGCATGTTCCCATCCACGCACTTGGCCTGGCTTCCCTCTCACCCTCGGTCTCTCTTTCCCCAGAAGCTTCCTGGACCCCGCTAGGGGGTCAGGGGAGGAGGGCAGGGGGGCAGGCACTCACCAGCGCTGCTGGCTCCGCTTCTCGGCCTCCAGGAGCTCCCTCCACAGCTGGTCCCGCTGCACCCCGTCTGCCGCCAGGGCCTCCTGCTCAGCCCGCGGGGCCAGGCCGCCCAGGGCTCTCCTGCCCACTACAGGGCCATGCCGGGCGGTGGGGAAGACCAGGGCTGGTGGCCCGGTGGAGGGCAGCTGGCACCCAGCTGGTGTGGTTTTCTGGAGCCCAGAGATGGGGTGGCTCCCCATGGGTGCAAGTGTGTGTGTGTGTGTGTGTGTGTGTGTGTGTGTGTGTGTGTGTGTGAGAGAGAGAGACAGAGACAGAGAGAGACAGAGAGGGAGGAAGAGACAGTGAGAGGTGCACCTCTGCCTGAGCTGGGACCTCTTCCGGGGCTCCCCCTTCCTCCTGACACCAGGGGAGCCTGTGAAGAGTCAATGCCCCTCTGGACCCAGCCCTCCAGGCCCAGAGGAGAGCCGCTCTGGCCAGCTGTGTCTGAGCTCCTGCCTGTGTTGACGGTTGCCCCGGGAACCAGGCGGCTCCGCCTCTGTGTGTGTCTGTCTGTCTGCCTGGTACATCTGAGCCCCAGGGTGGGGTGGAGAGAGTTCCTGGGGCTGCGCCAGGCCCAGTTCGGCTGCCCCTCAGCCCTGCCCCCTGCCCCTCAGCTGGAGACCTGAATACAGCGTTGAGGAGAAAGAGGGGCCACAGGCCCGGCTCCTGGGGTGGGAGGGGGGGACCTGGGCTTCCAGACAGGAGTGGGTTTTGGACCCAGCTTCCTGGCCCTCCGTCATTGCAGCAGGACCTTGGGCAGCCCCTGCTTTGGGGGGCCCATGAGGGGGCAATTAATTCTGTGCGACCCCCTCCTGGATGCGCATGAGATAGGCGGTGGCTGTGAGGGTCACAGACCAGGTGTCTCGGTGCATCTCTGGGAGCAGCTGTGCGCATGCGCCGGGTGAGGGGCGAGGAGCGACGCTGCCCAATGAATCAGGTCGCTCCGTCGGCGCAGACCTGCAGGCTTTTCCGAAGCACCGTCCTTACCTCGCCGGGCCCTTCCGACCAACTACGGCAGGGGTTTCCAGCCCCATTCGGCAGATGAAGAAACCGAGGCCTCGCCAGCAGGAGGTGGAGTGACTGCCCCAGGTCACTCGGTTACTAACTAAACCTTGGCCTTGCGTCTAGGAGGCCCTCTGAAGGAATTGGCGAGGACCCGGGGTGGGGGACCCCCGCTCCGAGCCCGTAGCGGGCTGCTCTGGCCCAGGCCCCTCCTCACACAGTCCCTCGGGGCTCGGGCCCTGGCTTCCAGGTCTCTGGGCTTCTTGTTCTGCGCTGGCCGCGGGGCTCTTTCTCCGCGTGGCTGGGAAACAGGCGCATGGACTGCATGGAGGTGTGCACGCGGCACCCCAGGGCACGAGGACTAGTTCAGCCAACACGCCTGAGTGAGTGCACACCGTGCGCCGCCAGCGCTCGGCGCCTCTTCCCGGTTCTGCGTTCAGGTAGGAGGCTCCAAGGAGCTGGGTCTTCGCAGAGGGAAAGGACCTGCCAGGTGGAGGAATTGGGGCAGGTGCAAAGGCCTGGACGCGCGAGAGGGCCCAGTATTGCGTCTGAGACAGGCTGGCGTTCAGTGACCTTGGAGTTTCCCAGTAAAGAAGAAACTGTGCAGAAACTGGGGGCCGGGAGCAGACTCCCCGGGCGGTGGTTCTCTCTTAGGTGTCTGTCCCCAGCACAGTGAGGACAGGCCACCTGCCCTGAGGGTCACTGCCCCAGTCACGGAGCGGAAATGCCATCCATAAGAGCGGGTCTGTTTGTATTTAAAGGATAAGGGTTCGTGGAAGAGGGTTATCTGGGAACTGGGCTGCTGCCATGTCCATAATCGAGTGTCGTGGCAGGGCCAGGCCCTCCGGAACACACAGGCTTCTGGTCCCTTCCGGCTCTGGTGGCTGCCGGCAGTCCCGGCACACCCGCCTGCAGCTGCACACGCCAGTGTCCCTGCCGCCACCCTCACAAGGCCTCGCGGTGTGTCTCTCTTCACGCAGCCACCTTTTCATGGGGACACCGGTGCGTCCCACCCAACTCCGGTGTGACTTCATCAGAGCCAATGACATCTGCAGGGACCCTGTTTCCAAACAAGGGGTAGGGGCGCCTAGGCCTCCAATGCGTGGACCTCGGTGACCATGACGCAACCCATGACAGCGTACGTGGGCTCAGACGCCTTCTGTGCTGCCTTGTGTATGAGAAGTGGCTTCTGTTCAGCCCCTCCTGTGTGCCGGGCATTTTGTATGTGGCCTTTTCCTTTGTCCCCCCATCTCCTCAGGTGACTAGCGTCAGTTCCCCTCTGTGGATGAAAAAAAGCAACTTCACGAGGCCGAGTGACTTGTCCGGGGAGAGAGGTGTGAGTGAAGGGCCTGGTGCTGGGGCCTGCTCGGGTCTCACACCTGGGGCCTGTGCTTTCGGCCACCGGCTGGACCTCGGAGTGACACAGAGGTCCCGGGAGCTTCCCTGATAATTTTCAGCAATTAGATCCCACATTTCAGCACCAGCCTGGCCTCTGGGCGCTCCAGTGAACCTTCCCTGATAGACCAGTGGGTTAAAAATAGAAGTCACACCCACTCCAGGTTGAAGAGGAGGCCCACCTGCGTTTCTCCGTGGCACGTGACAGTCGTGGGGGGCATTGGGATTTGGGCACAGAACCTGGGGGCTCAGGAAAACCACAGCCCTCCTTGCGCCCACCGGCCGTGCCGGGACCAGAACCCCCCTCCCCACCCCTGGCCTCTTCTGACCGGTTATTTCCACCCCATGTAAAGGGTTTAACTTTGGCTACCGAAAATATGGCTCAGTGGTTTGTGTTCTGTAGACTCCAGGTTCCTGGGGGTGTGGCCACTTTCAGCATTGGGAAAGATGTCCTGGGGCCTCATCTTTATTATCCTTACTCTGCAGCCCAATCAATGCATTTTAGGAAAGAAGTGGAACTGAGAGTTATGGCAACACCCGTCTGTGGCAGCAGGGGGCAGCCTGGAGCTTTGCATCCCCCCATCTGAGTGAAACTAGAAATTGCCTCTCTGCCCAGGGCTGTTGGCTGGGGAGAAGCAAAGGACTGGAGGGAAAGTTCCTTGGTTTTCAGAGAAGGGACAGAGATGGGATGTGTGTGTTCCCAGCTTCGGTAGGTGGTGAGTTTGAGACAGATGCAGCCTATGTGACAAGTGACAGGTTGCGGCCCTTCTAGAAGAAAGTATTAACACTAGGACTGGGTGACTTCGGGCTGGTGCCCCATCGGTCTTCACCCCACTGCCTGGATGGAGAAACAGGTGCAGAGAGTTTAGCTGACTTGCCTATGAGACGAGCTCCAGGTGAGGCAGCCGGGCCGCCTGGGGTCCCTCCCACCACAGGTTCTACAGTCCTGTTTGTTCTCAGACGCTCTCTTCCCAAGTGGGCGTCTCCTGTCCCTTCCCAGCCGGGGGAGGGATGGAAGACTGGGCGCAGGACAGTCTCTGACAGCCATCGGTCACAGTGGAAGCAGACGGTGGGGGCTACAGAGGCAGCGTCGGGGCTGCAAACCAAACTGGGCAGAAGAACGTTTCGACTACTGATGGAGCTGTCATGGTTTCTGGCTCTTTATTTTGCCAATATCAGCCTTGCTTTGACTACTGCAAAGGCGCACAGCTGCCTTAGACATGCTGGTTCTACAAACTGGCGGGGAGTCCGTACACAAGAGGGGTCCCTGGGAGCCCCCACAGATCTCGCCTGGCGCTGGCAGGCCCCTTACAGGACTGCAGTTGCACGGTTCATGAGGACCCTTGCTCTGGGTGACCAGCTCCAATGGTGCATTTGAATTCGCGCCCCTCTCCTTCAAGGACCCACTGGGAAGGAGACCGTGCTTGCATTTGCACCATGCATTCATCTGGGAACATGCATCCTGGAATGGCAAGCCTCTTATTGGGGCTGAAATTCATCTAGTGACTTCCTGTGTGGAAAGGCAGAGACAAAGAGGGAACACTTAGGAGTCCCACCCGGGGGAGCAGCAGCTCCTGCCCTGGCTGGCACTCAGAAGGTGGGGAGCCCAGGGGCAAGGCAGCGCCGGTGGCCAGCACACAGCTCCTCCAAGGGGCAGGCGTGGGCCAAGTCCCTGTGCGGTCACTTTCCAGCGTTTCCCTCCAGGTCCCGGCTCCACTCCCTCGGATGACGGCGGCAATAAGATGGTCACTGCGCAGGGTGAGGTCCAACAGGAAGTGGCACAGGTTGTGTGTGAAGCCTTAGGGAACTGCCTGGCTGAGGGTGGCTAATGTCATGGTCATGTGAAGCCCACCAAGTGGAGCGGCCCCAAGAACACTCCTGTGGTTCCCACCGCTGGGTTGGCTAGTCTCCCTGCAGCAGGGAGAGCTCCCCCCTAACCCTCGGCCAGTGGCCAGGCCAGCGAGGACAGGTGCCCTGCCTCCCTGTGCCTCCGACTGTGGGGGGTGGGGGGAGCCACGTGCTTGCCAGGGGTCCTTTGTTCTCGCTGCTGCTGGGGTTCTGTCGACAGAATCCTGCCGGTTGGAATCTTGTTCATCTCCGTCTGCCTGCCAGCAGGGCTCATTTTCACTTCCTCAGTGATGACGCAGATCTCAGATCAAAGGCTTGGGGCGCATTTAAACCAGCACGTGAGCACTGTCCCCAACAGAAACTGGAACGGGAGGGTCCCTCAGCCTCGTGTCACCTGCACCTGTGTGCCAGCGCCACCTGGCCGGCCCCACCTTGCACCTGCCTGCCTGTTGAACCTGGGAGCCGGGTGCTCTGTGCTGGGCTCTTACCTGCCAGTCAGGTCTCCACCCCAAATCATCCCTTTCCTCGCCTGTGGTAGTGAGCTCCCCGCCCAGCTCTCCGGCAGTCTCTGCCCCCTGGCTGTAGTTCCTTCTTAGCCTGTGTCTCTCTCATGTTATCTTCTTCCTTGACCGTTTTCCCTCACTAAAGGTGTAACACCACAGGTGCCTCTCCAGGTAGAAGGGTGCCTGGCATGTAGTAGGTGCTCAGTTAACAGTTGCGGAAGGGAGGAGGGACACAGGCACCTGCCCACACAGGAGCCGTTCCTGTTTGGGCCATAGGGCTCCTCAGACTTGTGGGGGAGTCTGAGGCCAAGGGGCCAGCCTCCCTCCCTCGGAAGACAGTGGTCCCTCCTGCAGCTTCCTCTCCTGGCCTCTGTGGGACCATTCCCACCACAAAGAGCTTCCTGCCAGTGCACTCCCATCAGAAACATCCTGGTTACCGGGCTTCGCTGCCT